AATCAAATCCACGACTCTCGCATCCCTCTGCTCCAGGAAGGTAATAAAAAAAATGAGTATTGAAATTGACTGTATCAAATTTTATAGATGTCAACTGTTAATTCGGAAATGATATCAAGTGTTGATTCAAGTCGCACTTTCGTACTTGGTAAAAGACGAAAGAACAAACGAAATGTCTATGACTCGTTGATACGTTACCAACGTGCACATCGATTCACAAAAATAATGAAACGAAGGATTTATATGCGCCGCAAGGCTGCGTGGGAACGAGATGACCCAGAAGAGACGTTCAGCATAGACTCTGCCAGTAGTGTATGTGGGTCGGGCAAGGAAGACCCGTCTGTAGATTCGGCACGAACCAACCAATGGAACGCAAACTCTTAGAAAATTATCTTATTGTTGATTTCAAATCCATTGATTTTATCAACTGTTGTAATCCTTTGCAATTCCTGTCTTAAACTCAACTACTGAATTAAAGAATCCTAATAAAGGAATTTCTGTTATTGTAGAATGAGTCAAGAATCTGCCCACGGACAAGGCAACAATAATGAACACGTCAGTGTTCATACTGAAGCATCTAGCTTTACCCCTCCCGTCCAAAATGAACCCGTCAACACGTCAATATTGTGTGGTGATCACCACGGCTGGTCCAGTTGCGGTTTTCTGAGCCGGTTCTTCGCTGCTCTTATTCAGCATTGTTTTCTTCATCTTCAACACGTCCAGAGTCTCAACACACTTTTGCACTCTTTCTACCTATTTTTTGCATTAATATGATTACCGCCCAAACCCAATTATTTATACAACAATTAAAAAATGATTTTCAATCAATTTTTTTAAGTTTTTAAAACCATACCTGGAATTTTCTCTGGGATTTAACATGGCTTTCACTGGTAATAATACCGTCCAGTTTAAGCAGCTGGTTCATCAACAACTCAATCAAGTTTACAATAGTTTCCTCTGCAACTTTTCCAACTTTTGTTATCACAGATTCCAGTGCAGATACCTGTTCACACAAAGAAATTATCATACCATTGACCATTCAAACGAAGAATTCATAGAGGGATCAGGCAAAGAATCTCAATGTGTAAAAATAAGGAAACTTACCGTACTTGAGCAAGAGGTTGAAGTCGAAGGCTGGAAATCCGTTAAACTCGTCAGGAAAGGAAAGAAAGTCGGCGAAGCAAAACACATCTCCATATCCAATAATTTCAAAGAAATTTCGCTCGTCTCGGTTTCGTCTATGAAGGAAAGTTACCGTATTTGCGATTTTCCCCAAATCTTAGAATTTACCTAAAGTTTCGCAGGCAGTGAGTGGGTGATGAAGTCTCGATAGCCAGATCCCTGAAATTTCGAACTATAATATCTCCAGATCCCCATAGAAGCGGCGATGATGAGATATCCAGATCCACTGATTGTGTGGGTGAGCCTCTCGAACGAAAAACATAGATCCACCAATACCCATCGGACCGGGTAATCTAGATCAGCCGATACCCACATTTGATGACATGGCTGATTAGGTGTCAAAAAATAATACAGTCATCATGCCAAATGTCGCGATTTTGAGAGTTGAACTCTCAAATTTTATATATAAAGGATTACCTTTAAATTATGCCCAATTTTGTAAATAGTTTTTAAATTATATCTCAAGACACATAGTTTCATCAAATGAAAAAATATTTATATTGAATCATCATTAACAATTGAATTCTTTGATATTGTTTTAGAATTTTATAAGAATAAGACGCATTACACAACACTTAGTTCATAATAAATTTAGAAACAATAACGTATGACAACACTTAGGAAAAGATGATTTATTGTAGGTGTAATAAAATTCATTATTCAAAACCAACAACATTATTCATGCAAATATTAAAATAAAACTTAAAGTATATAGTAATGAAATCCAACAATTAACTCAGAACACTCGAATGAAGAAATAACAATAATGATTAATTTTTTTCAATCTTAACACTCCTCATCTTGTTGACGGAGTCATCTCCATCTCCAACGTTATACAATTCCTCTTGCATTCTTTTCATGGGTATAAGATTGATCAATCATCTCTAGGTTGTGTCAGATGACTATCTTGAGATTCCACAAAATCCACAATTAAATTCTGCAAAGAGAAAATCAAAGGGTTATACACTATAAATAGTTGGAAATTCAATTTATCGCAATTGAATTTATAAAATAAAAGATGAGAAAAAATTGATTTTAAGGTTGCACCTGAAATTTAATGAATAAAAAATATTTAAACATTAATGTTTTTTTATGTCTTGGATTTCAATACCTTTACGCAAGACGATGCATTGCCAACTGAAATGACTTATGTGTTTGTCTTCCCATCAGTTGAATACCCGATAGTCTTATCCGTCTGGTATAAAGAAAATATAAATACATTACCAAACACAAATATTCCATCATTCAAAAAGTGGTAGGGAATGAGCTTGAAGTTATTGTGTTAATTCCAAACCTGAGGAGAGAAAAATGAAGAGTGCATCTCCATAAATTTTGCAATGATCCGGTCATTAAAGCATATGTCATTCACATTGTAGGAAGGTTCAAAATCATTGATATTTGCAGTCTTGACTTCAACCTTGAAGATAAATGACTTTTCAAGTAGCATTTGTTTGAACACATATGGTTGTTCACATCCTACTGGCAAGCACTTTATATACAAATAGGAACATTACTCGGGGCAGCTATTCATTTTGACAGTAAGTGCCAAAGAAATTCACATCTCACATACCTCTTAAGGTCTTTATACAAACTGCAATAATGTAATAAGTTTTTTTATGCATACCTCACAGAATTTCAGCATCTCGGAGCAGGACTTATGCAACAACAAACATCCAAGGCTCTCAAATATCACAAAAGTCGCACTATCTGATGCATCGTTCACTCTTGCCTTAATTCGATACCTGCATATATTCATTATATTAATATTTACCAATAGGTGTTATCATATGTTTTTATAATTTGTTAAAATTCGAATAACAAAAATTATGTAGATAAGCACTGGAGATACCATGTTTGGTTGTCTTAAACAAAACGTCTTAGTGTGATTAGTTTTTAAGGTGACATTGTTATACCAACACCAAACTAAAATCAAGTACTTAGTATTTTTTCTGCAAAATACAACTCAAAGAAGGTAGACACTGTGGGATTACATTATCATCAATTCCTCTCTCTGCTTATCTTCTTGTATGAAAAAATAAACAGTAATTGACCCACATGTGAGAAAAAACAATATCTGAACCAAATAACGTTGAGACTGACTCTTTTAGTAATTGAAAAATTAAAATACTTAGTAACAATGTAATCCATGTGGAAAGTCACGTCATAATATGCGGGATAAAAAGTAAAAATCAGTTTTTTTTAATACTCACGTACCGGAGAAACATCATCAATCAGACTATAAAAAAACAGTATAATAAGTGGAACATCAGACTATATATTTGTAAATAAGTAGTGTAAAAACTTTCATACTCTAATAAAAAACATTTAAATCTCGAAATTCAAAACGTTATTATATGTTTGTTGATCATACACTATGATTAAAAAGTGTCATCAACCTTATTATATGTTTTGCGATCTTGTATTAAGGAATGACAAAAAATGACACAAAGTGTGATCAATGTACTTCTCTATCAAGAAGGCTTTTCAAATGGTTAGGAAATTGGTAGGCAGGCTAAAAGCTGAAATCTTGGTAGAATTTTAAGAGTAATATTACCTTGGAATCACGTTCACAACACATTTTTTACAGTCGCTGCAGTAGTAAAAGCCATTCCGTGGAATCACTTCCGATCCACACCTACACGTTGGTATGAACCAATCAGCTCCACCATCCACACCTTTGATGGTACCGTAGACTGCATACTCTCCATCCTAGTGCCAAAATAGGTAAATTATTAAATACGATATCTTGGAAATGTCTTCAAGAAGTGTGTATTAAATTGGTATAACTTACCTCCGTGCAATCCTTCAAAGACTATTGTTTTAGCAAGCGTTCTGTTTAAAAAATCCTCCTGAATGGAGTACACTGGTATAGCGCTATTCACTGCAGCTTTTGAATTTTTTGCATGAATAGATTCCAGGTATTTTTTCTTGATGGTATTATCGTGACATATTCTTGACACTCTAAAAGAGTGTTCATGTTGGCCGCGGTTCATGACCCTTACCTCAACTTTGAAAATATACGTCTTCCCAAGCAAGAGGTCATCAAACTCTTTTGGATTTTCAAAACTTCCATCCTCTGAGAAACTTATCCGTTACATTAGTTTACAAACATTGTCTTCAAAATAAAGTAAATTGAAGTATTATACATTTGTTTTTAACTATCATAAAAATTATGAATGTTTTACATTTATTTCATAAATTTAAGCACCATTTTTAGTAGGAATTTTAGTAGCATTTACTTTAAAAAATATAACCTTTTTTCATGTGGACAATCCGTGTGTGCTTTATACATTATGGTCAAAATTGTTAGATATTAATTTCATGTGTGTTATCAGTAAAATGTCTATAATAAGAACATGCTACTTTCTTACATAAAAGCAACATTTTGTTAGTATGTGAAAAAACAATCAAACTAAAACTGTGCATGATATATTAAAAATTAAAAAACCAATCGTTTTGAAGCAAGAGTACATAGCAAATCACATTTTTCCATCAATTCTGCACAGGATATATTCAAAATATTGGACGCCTCACGGTCAAATAAAACAAATGTGGTTGTTCCGAATCATCTTTAACAGACAGCTTGATAAGATATCTGAAGCAGAGAATAGTTTAAAAAATTCAAATAATTTTTAAGTAATCTCCTTACATGCACATAGTTAACAACTAAAAGAAAATCATTGATAAAAAAAGAGTTATTCCTCGGGGTGACCTTGAAAACACGACTTGAGCAGTGCGCACAGTAGTACATTGCACCATCAGGTTTAACAGCTCTGTTACACTTACATGCTAAATACCACCAATCGCTCTCATTGTTTACCGCAACGATAGTCCCATACACCACATACGATCCATCCTTTTTAGAGAAATTCAATATTAGGTCTCATGTTATTTCTCAATTAATAGTGCATATGTTAATATATTGAATCCAAAAAGCAAACCAATAATTAAAAGTCTCAAAAGTATGGATTGAATGCTTAAAAATATCAAATATACCTCATTACACTCCTTCAGGTTAGCAATCACCCTTGTTTTGCTCGTATCGAGGAAGTCATTTTGGTCTGAACTCGTAATGTTATCACATGAAAACCTAACAGGCTGAGGTTGAGAAGAACCGCTAAGAGTTCTGCATGATGGTAACTATTCTATTAGTTTGCATGCGTCAAATCTACTCTTGCTTGTAACCAAAATCAGCCAGTAAAACAGATTAAATATGAGATGAACTAACCTCTGTCTGAAAGCAGTAACGGTGTTTATTTCCGGATTCAACATAAGACGTCTACCATACATTACATTTTGTAGAATATAATTTACTAAAAGCATGCAAGTTGAATATAAGAAAATAGTAGTGTAATATATAATGACATGTAAAGAAATAAAATCGATTAACAACATTTTAAAAGGAAATAAAAGAACACAATAGTATTCAAGATATTAATACCTTGAAACATCTTGACCTTAGCATACTGAATGACTATCACCGCATGTTCCAACGGCGTGTGTCGAAAGAAGCTTTTAAGCACGTCAACATACTCACCAAATAAAGTAACATCCAACCTTTGTCTGGTATACCAAAGTTCAAAAGTTAGCATTACATGTTAGTTCATTAAAAAATAACCACTATTTACGAAACTAAAAATAACAACATTATACCCTTCGGCCTCCAACGTAATCACAATCATCTTTGTTCTTTTTGACTCCCTCACTATCTCCCTTTCCTTCCCAACAGCCGAAAGAATTCCCATAGTGTCTGCAATGTAATGATGATATTGAGAAGAACGAAGAGAAACATATTCCATCTAATCCACCTCTTTAACGGGTATGTAATTTAAATTAAAAAAACTTTTAAGACTCAAGTAAGGAGCATTACCAACTAAATACGGATAGTTCGAATCTGCATGCAAGATATCATGGAATCCAACCAACTTAATTCCATAAACTGGTATTTTGTCACAACTGGTTTCTATGACGGTGGTCCTTACCTGAAAATTTAGGCGAAACTCATGTCTTGAAGTGCGATAATATCCACTGCTATTGCCAACTCCAAAATAAGCAAAGACATATACTGATCCTTCCTTTATTTTATTCTCAAAAGCTCCCACCAAACTTTTTCTTACAGTGGCATGGATAGTAGTTTCCTGCAAAATGTCAAGGAAACTTTAATACTCATAGGGACATGAGAGACTGCAATACTTAGGGACAAAAGAAATTTCAACAGGTATTAACACTATCTGGCCTATTCAAATGTGATTTGAAACTACAAAAACAAATTTGTAGAGACTTTGAAAAGTTTTTAGGCAATATAAAAAGTTGTTTTGTCTGATTTTTTAAGCACTTGAGAAGCTTCAACATGAATAGGCACTATAATAACCAAGAATATAAACTCAACAGACTTTTTTGGCAATATAAAAAGTTGTTTTGTCTGATTTTTTAAGCACTGGAGAACCGTCCAATACCCAGGGATTGGAGAAATTTAATCAGACTTTAAGAATCTAAACTCAACGCCATAAAAAATATAAGAGAATATAAATCTGAAAATATGCAGCAGAGTATGGGGGGACAGAATATGCACTGAATAGCATAGGATACAAATATTAAAACAGAGAGAACAAATAATATAAATAAGAAGAATTCACTCTGAGTCTAACTGCATTTCTTATCATTCACTATATCAATATAAAAAGTTATTTTGTATGATGTTTTTCAGCACTGGAGATGCTTCAACATGAACATGAAATATAATAACTAAACAGAATATAGCACGATTAGTTTTTCCAATACCCAAGGACTTTAAAAAACTAAACTCAACGCCATAAAAAATATCAGAGAACATAAATTACAAAATAGACACCAGAGTATAGGGGCTCAGTATATAGCAAAATTCTGTGGTTTTAAAAAACGTGAAAGAAACATATTATCTATTCATATAATGTACGCAAAATTTGTATAAGAATATAATTCTTACATGTTCATCCATGAATATCATCTCAATCGAATTCGTCATCTTCTCATCATTATACACTGGCATCGTGTACAAACGAATCACACGAACCAAAACTTTCCAGCATTCACTTGATGGATTGATCTTCAACAAAGGGTGAATTGGTTTGGAAGACATGTCAATTAATCAGAGATTTTAGGTACGAACGCGCCTTACAATGAAACAATAGATTGATGAAATGGCTTACTTAAAATTTGATTTATAAGGGTAGAAAATTTTAGCAATAAGGGTAGAAAACCGCAAGAAGGAAACTTGAAAGAAAAAGGGTTGAAAATTCATAGATTTGAAACGGAAAATTCGAATGATGAACAGATTTCGCAGAGATTGGAAAGAAGGCCAATCATCTCAAGAAGATTTATGATTTTTTAAGAAAATGGAAAGTTTGAAATTATTTCACTGAATTTCCGCTCATCTCAAATTCATCTGGGAAGGAAACTTACCGTATCTGGGCTTATCTCTATATCGAAGAATTTGGTTGAAAAATTGCGTATATTTGTCTGCGAATCGAACGGGCGAGTTCATTGCAGAGGCCGATGAATGGAGGAGTGAGTATTCTGGAATCCAGCCCGCAACCATCCAATATACGGGTCATCCGATTCGGTTAAGAAATACCAACAGGTACATTGACTTTATGACATGGCAGATGACCTGTTTAAAATCTTGTCCACTCAACATAACAAATGTCAAGATTTTAGGAGTTTAACTCCCAAATATTATATATAAAGGATATGAAGGATTAGGCTTGTATTTATAGTGGAAGATGTTAATTAGCCGTTGGGAGGTGATTAGGGTTGATTTAATTCAAAAGTGCAAATCAGGAACAGTAACCCAACGGATCCGGTACCCTTCACGGTAGGGGGGTCCGTACCATCCGGTACGGCCTACCGTGTGGGGGTACCGTATAGGCCAAAACTTCGGTTGCTCTCTGGCGGTACCTGGTTAGGACGGGGTACCTTACCGTTTCAGCCTACCGTACGGTACATGGGTACCGTTACACGGTATGCGGGTACCGTGTAGGCGGTATACCCTACCGTCTGGGGTACCGTGCCACTGTCCTGAATTTTCCAAAATTCCCGTAATCCTTCTTGTTTGAGTTTAAAACCTTTGGATATTTGAAAACGTTTATTGGACGGTTTTAAACATAGTTTGTGAGTGCTTTTGAGCTTGTGAGTATAGGTATATAAAATCATATTCCTACATTGGTCTCTACCTATATTCTACGCTAGTTTGGTGTTTCGACTTCATTCTTGAGTACCGAATCTTAATGGATTCTTGTTGTACCTAAAACACTTAAACAAACGTCAAGCTCTTATATTGTTTGTTAACATCAAAACATGAGGCTTAGCAAAGCAAGGCTAACAATCTCCCCCTTTTTGATGTTGACAAACAATATACTTCAAAGTGAGTTAGGCGGGAGTAAAATAATGAAGCAAACAAGCTCCCCCTAAGAATATGCATATTGAAAATACTCACTTTGAACTTTTTATTGTGTTTATAAAAGTTAAAGTTTGATGCAATTAGTTACACAAGAATGCACTCAAGTCAAGTTGCATATGCATCACTTTGAAGTATACATCATCTCCCCCTTTTGTCAAAATCAAAAAGGGCATTTTGAAAATTTTAACCATGTATAACTTCTTGAAACCCCCCCCCCCTATCAAAATGAATTTTTAGGAAAAATGATAGTTTTGAGATCATTAGACAAAAGGTGCCTTTATAACGAAACTTCCTCTAAAAATGAAAACTCCCCATAAAATGATGCAAGTTTAAAAACTTTAATTTTTCAAAGATTTTTGGGGATTAAAAAGACATGATTTAAAGATGATTTTTAAAAAAAAAAAAATAATCATGCAAACTAAGGCTAAAGCAAATTATGGGATAAGTTTTTATTTTTGAAAAATATTGAAAGCAACAAAAAAATTCTTATCCCAATAAGTAAAAAAACTTACCTTGGCTTATGTTGTTCTTTCTTCGACTTGGAATATACTTCTTTCTCTTTTGATTTTCTCCGTCTTGAGTCTTCAAAAAATTTCCATTGGAGAAAACTCTTGTATTTCTTCCTCATTACTCTTTCTTCGTCTTCTTCATCACTTGACGAATTAGAGTCATCGGATGTTTCATCCGTTTCACTTGACTCATCATTTGAGACACTTGAGTCATCACTAGACTCCTCCTTGGATGCCTTGAACGCATTGGTTCATTTTGGATCTTCTCTCAAATATTCTTCTTTCATTTTAATCATCAAAAGCTCGTGAGAATACAAAGAAGACCAAATGTGGGCGGTGCTTTCCGTTGCACATTTGGGTAAAAGATCTACAATACTACTATGCCATTCTTTTGGCAAAGAAAGTAAAATTTTAGTATTTAGTTCACTTGTAGAATATTTCTTACCCAACTTACCCATCTTGTTGACTATTTCGTTGAACCTTCTATTTGCATCTTGGATTGACTCATGTTGGCCAACTTTGAAACTTTCATACTCCGAGTTTCCGGGGGCCAACATGTTTGCTTCGTGGAGGTGTCGCCTTCATGCGTGGCTTGAAGCAAGTCTCATACCTCTTTGGCCGTTTTGCATGAACATACTCGTGCAAACTCATCGGGGCCGAGAGAGCAATGGAGAATATTGATTGCCTTTGCATTCATTGATAACTTTCTTTTATCCTCCGGAGATAATCCTGCAAGATTACCAATACTCGGCACAAATGGCCCGTGAAGTACATTCAACCATAAATCAAAATCAATTGATTGAATGAAATATTCCATCCGCATTTTCCAATAAGAATAGTTTTGACCATTGAAAAACGGAGGGCGGTGGATGCTTTGGGAATCCATTTGGGCCATATTTCAATAAATTTGAATTTAAAAATTGGGAAAAATAAAAATTTTAAGATTTTAAAAATTCAAATTTAAAAACGGACACAACAAGTGGATCTTTGTCGTAGATGCAGTTAAGCACTTTCAACTACGAAACCACTCTGATACCAATTGTTAGTCGGTTTAGTCGTTGTGCCCACGCCTTAGAGGGGGGTGAATAAGGCGTTTGAAAAATTTTCGGAGTTTGATAAAAACGGTGTTGGCAAATGCGGAAGCAATAACTAAAACGCAAAAATAAAAGCGTAAATAAAATGCACACCGATTTTATACTGGTTCAGGAAACCCCTACTCCAGTACCTCGAGGCTCCTCCTCAAGGATTTCCGAATCCACTAAGTCTCGGCCTCTTGAACTCCGTCAAAGCACCGCACTAGTTTTGGCAAACAACCCTTGCCAATAGGATTCCCTCCGAGATTTCACAACGGCTATCTCGAACCGTTTACAATGAAGATTTAACGGCTATCTTCTACCGTTCCCCCAAGGATTTCAAAGCCTATCCTTGAACCTTTACCCAAGTATTTATACGGCTATCCTTGACCGTTACAATGTGAGAATTTAACGGCTATTCTCGACCGTAAGAATGTGTGTTTGATGAACACAATCAAGGATTCTACACAACGGCTAGAATATTAAAATGATAAACAAAACTTAGCCGGTGTAGAAGGAAAGTATACTATCTCAAAAATACAATTCAAACTTATGAATATGAGAATATATAACTAGAAACACAAGCTCAAAGTGTGTGTATAAAAATCAAGAATTTAAGGGTCTTAAAATAGCCAAAATATTGAAAATGATTAATAAAATGATGAACACACTTAGAATAAAAAGAGAGGATGTTTAGAGCTTTGTTTCTTAAAGAAATATGAAGGATTAGGCTTGTATTTATAGTGGAAGATGTTAATTAGCCGTTGGGAGGTGATTAGGGTTGATTTAATTCAAAAGTGCAAATCAGGAACAGTAACCCAACGGATCCGGTACCCTTCACGGTAGGGGGGTCCGTACCTTCCGGTACCTAGGTACCGTGATACGGTACGGCCTACCGTGTGGGGGTACCGTATAGGCCAAAACTTCGGTTGCTCTCTGGCGGTACCTGGTTAGGACGGGGTACCCAACCGTTTCAACCTACCGTACGGTACATGGGTACCGTTACACGGTATGTGGGTACCGTGTAGGCGGTATACCCTATCGTCTGGGGTACCGTGTCACTGTCCTGAATTTTCCAAAATTCCCGTAATCCTTCTTGTTTGAGTTTAGAACCTTTTGGATATTTGAAAACGTTTATTGGACGGTTTTAAACATAGTTTGTGAGTGCTTTTGAGCTTGTGAGTATAGGTATATAAAATCATATTCTTGCATTGGTTTCTACCTATATTCTACGCTAGTTTGGTGTTTCGACTTCATTCTTGAGTACCGAATCTTAATGGATTCTTGTTGTACCTGAAACACTTAAACAAACGTCAAGCTCTTATATTGTTTGTTAACATCGAAACATGAGGCTTAGCAAAACAAGGCTAACACCCGGGTTAGATCAAAATGGCTACTTCCTTTAATTTGAATTAAAAAATGGGAAGGCACCAAGACAGGGATTGAACCATGTACCCAGCGCTAGGCAAGAGGGCATTTTCCCAATGGGCTACTACAACTTTTGATAGAAACGCCATGCAATAGCCAATATGGAATATATCAGTGTTTTAATCTATTTAGAGAGTAATTTAAAAAGACTTCATATTATTTAAGAAAAGAACTATATTTATATAATATATTTATATTATTAAATTATAATGTAGTTCAAAATTAAAAATAATTAGTATTATTTATTTTTTATCTTAAGAAAAATATAAATAATCCATACTTAGAGTATTATTTTCATCTTTAAAATATTAATTATAATTTAATATTCTCTTTTTTTATTTTTTCAATCATTTAATAAATTAAATATAAATTTTTACTCTGTAAAATGTAAATAGTATATAAGAACATATTATCTATTCTTTATTTTTTAAATATGAGTATTAGCTTATTAGTTAAGTATCTGTTAAAAAATATTTAGTATTACCTTATTAATTTTTAATAATAATAAAAATAATAGAATAAAAAATAAAAATTGTGAAATAATATATGCACAATGATATTAAAAAAACTAGATTGAGAAGTAAAAATACAAGCTAATATTTTTTTAACTAAAAATGTCTAATAATATAATATAACATATTAGCATTTTAATTATAGTTTGACCAGGCCATTGACCCTCCAAATTGACCGGTTCAACCAGTTAGTCTTTGACTCACTCTCTCGTTCGAGTTGATGTCCGGTCCGATTTTCAGAACATTCATAATAGGTGGTGATATGAGATGGTAGAGAAAATCCAAAGTCAAGGGGAAATGGGCAATCCCGGAGTGAGGGCGTGGAGTGTCGGGGGGCGTTCGTATTTCAAACGTATATGCACTGTATACGAGCCACGTATTGGTTCTTCCAAATATCACCTGCATATTGAAATAAAAGAGTAGTAAATATACTGTACAATACTTGCCTTGTATCGTCATCTACCTCCCTCCCCCCCTTTTCCAGCTGGATGTATATATACACTCACATGATACATTCCCTTTCTCTCTTTCTCTCTCTAAACGTCTCTGTTTCTCTCTCAATCTCTGCATCTGTACTCCAACCTCCCCTCCTTCTCTTTTACGCCGATTGTCGGTGCCAGATCCCGCGCCCTCCCACCACCCTCCGAGGTTTCTTTAGATCTCTCCTATCCAAATCATGACACATATATATTAGGGATTTCTTTGAGGGCTGTGAGTGCGTGGAGGTGGTGGAGGGAAGCTCCGGATTCGCCGTGCACGGAGGAGTGTATGAGGGATTTGGAGTGCGGGGATTTGTTCGTCTGGGATAATTCGAGGAGGATTAGGTGGGATTGTTCGTTCACCATCCGGAGCCGAGGTCGGTGGGGGAAATGCGGATGAATTCTTTGATGTAATTCTTGTTGCTTTTATATATATCTATATTATTATTCTTCAATTTGATGGCGTCGATTCTGGGAGCTGATTTTTTCCAATCGCTGGTTTTGTTAGGGTTTTTGTGAGACCGTTAAGAAATCATGCAGCCTGATCATCGCAAGAAAGTGAGTCTTTTTTGTCAGCTGTTCTTTTTTTTTTATGTAAATGAACCATGTATTCGAATTTTGAAATTTGAAATGAATCAAGAGGGGGAGAATTTCCATGATCTTGTTGATTTTTGATATATCATTTTCTCCCCCTGTTTCTTATGAAGGGATTGATAGTTTTGTTGATTCCAATGATCCATAACTTAAAAAGTTTGAAGCTTTTCCACTTCCTCATTTTTTAATATAACCGTGTTGATGAATTGACTGTAATTTAATTCAAACATATCTTTTCCCTCCGATGGTTCTATGGCATATGTTAGTCACCAACTGTGTCCTTTCTGTATGCTTTCCGTGACTGTTTTATCTTAAACATCATACAGGCATGGGAAATGGAATTACTAACCCACTTGTTTTGATTTGCTCAGAAATTAATGATGATTATATGTTGATAATGGGTACCTAGGTTTTGTGTCAACCAAAAAATTAGTTACCAATCTTTAATGACAGATGAAACATATGCACACTCTGATTTCATTTTCTAGATAAGCATTATGTGAGTAATAAGTACGATATTGAATTGTGCTTTCTGCACCAGAGTTCAACAGAGATGGAGTTCTTCTCTGAATATGGTGATGCAAATAGATACAAGATTCATGAGGTAATAGGGAAAGGAAGTTATGGAGTTGTTTGCTCAGCAATTGACACTCATACCGGTGAGAAGGTTGCTATTAAGAAAATACATGATATTTTTGAACACATTTCTGATGCTGCACGGATTCTGCGTGAGATAAAGTTGTTGAGGCTTCTACGGCATCCAGACATTGTAGAAATTAAGCACATTATGCTTCCACCTTCTAACCGGGAATTCAAAGATATTTATGTTGTTTTTGAGCTAATGGAATCAGATCTTCATCAAGTTATCAAGGCCAATGATGATTTGACTCGAGAACACTATCAGTTCTTTCTTTACCAGTTGCTCCGGGCCCTAAAATATATACACACCGGTAACTGGCAGTCTAGCACACCATTTTCCCTTTGAAATCCCTTATTTTTGTTAAGCGATGATAGTTACACTTAAAAAACAATGGAATGCTGATGTTAAATGTTTTGCAGCTAATGTCTACCATCGTGATCTCAAACCAAAGAACATTTTGGCCAATGCAAACTGTAAACTCAAAATATGTGATTTCGGATTGGCCAGAGTGGCTTTCAATGATACACCAACAACAATCTTTTGGACGGTATGCAATAATAGTAGATATTAGTATCCAATTTTGTTACCTTTATTCGTATCATGTATTTCAAAGTTGAAAAATATTTTTGGAATTTCAGGACTATGTCGCTACCAGATGGTATAGAGCTCCAGAGTTGTGCGGCTCATTTTTCTCCAAGGTATAGTTTTGAAAATGTATGGTATAATTTTTTAAAAAATCTTATATTCATGCGAGGGATGCTGTGATTTTCTTATTGTTTCCTTGCATACTACAGTTTACATCCAACTTTTTAATAACTGTTGGCAACGCCTTAAGGGACGGGATACATGTGCATGTTGTGAAATATTTTTTCTAGATTTCTTTTTCTTAGTGATCAATGGTTTACATTGAACATATGAAATGATGCACATAAATATGATGTTGCTGGTGTCTGGTGGAATTTATGCAGTATACTCCTGCAATTGATATATGGAGTATTGGCTGTATATTTGCCGAAGTTCTAAGTGGAAAGCCCTTATTTCCGGGAAAAAATGTAGTTCATCAGCTGGATTTAATGACAGACCTTCTTGGGACACCTTCAATGGATACTATTTCACGAGTATGTAGCTCTGCCTCAACTTCTATGATTTAGTTCTGCGACCTCTTTTTGTTATTAGTACTAATTATCACAAGTGTTGGTTCAGGTGAGGAATGACAAGGCAAGAAGATACCTCACCAGTATGCGGAAGAAACAGCCTTTGCCTTTTTCACATAAATTTCCTAATGCCGATTCTCTGGCCCTCCGCCTTCTTGAAAAGCTTCTGGCTTTTGATCCAAAGGATAGGCCCACTGCTGAGGAGGTTTGCTATTATCTTAAATCTATTTTGCACTTTGTGAATTTATTCCCAGAGACTTACTCTGCATGTAGAAATAACCATGCCTTGAAAAATCTAATTATTGAACCTTGATTTTTGAGTTATAATCAGGCACTTGCTGATCCTTACTTCAAGGGACTTGCCAAAGCTGAGAGGGAACCATCTTGCCAACCAATTTCTAAACTAGAGTTTGAGTTTGAGAGGCGAAAGGTCACCAAGGAGGATGTAAGGGAGTTGATATTCAGGGAGATACTAGAATATCACCCTCAACTCAGAAAAGATCACTTAAATGGAGAAAGAGCCAACTTTCTATATCCAAGGTGTGGATTGTTTGGCTATCTTTTCCTCTGGTTGTTTATTTTCATGTTTCAAATGAATGTTAATTTTTGTCGCCGATGCTGACCCGTGTCATCATTTCAGTGCTGTTGATCAATTCCGGAAACAGTTTGCTCACCTGGAAGAAAATGGTGGTAAAGCTGGGCCTGTGGCTCCTGCAGAGAGGAAACATGTATCTCTTCCTAGGTCTTCAGTTATACATTCCAGTTCCACTACAATCCCTCCTAAGAAACAATCTAGTTCGAAAGACCGGCAAACTGCAGAGGAGTCCAGCAATGGAAACTACAGACAACCTGATGGTGGTCCCTGCAGTCTGCCGAGAACCTTGCAATCACAACAGAGGACATACCCAGGTATCCACACTCTGTTATTCCTGCCATGTCTGCATACCCAGCTTTAGTTCTTTCTTTTTTTTTTTCTAACACATACCATCATGTACTTGAATCCTTAGCAGCAAAGCCAGGAAAGGTGGTGGGTCAAATATTGCCATGTGAGACTGGAAATATGGTCAGGAATGCGCAGATGATGCCGTCGGTTTATGGCTACCAGAGATGTGGGGTGGCTAAGCAGCAGGAACGACCGACTGAAAATCGCGAGCCGTCTAATTCTTCTGCGCACATGAAACAGCAGATGCTTCACTGTGGAATGGCTGCGAAATTAGCACCAGATGTTGCCATCACCATTGATACCAGCCCTTTCTATGCGACCCGAGCAGGCATCAAGGAACCCGCCGATCCTGTCACTGATGGGATCGGGGCCCACACTAACCTGCTACAGCGTGCCAAAGCTCAATATGGTGCTGCGGCGGCTGCTGCTCATAGGAAAGTGGGGACTGTTCAGTTTGGCATGTCAAGGATGTATTAGGGATGATGAGTAAAGAGAGAGAGGAGGAGAGTGTATAGAGAAAAGCTGGGCTTTCTTCTGTTACTTTGACACTGTTTGCTTCTTATTTTCCCATTGTGGGGATTACATACTTAGTAAAATTGAAATTCAAGATTCTTTTTATTCCATTTTTTCTTCCCTCTCTTTACTGTGCCATATATCACCGTAGTTAGTTGTTACTAGTTTGAAGTGCTTCTATGAACATATGCTAAAATGGGAGCACAATTGAGGCAACAGTTGTACACTATAGTATGGATACCAGGAAATATGCAAAAAGTGTTTAGGCAATTTCGAAGATTCTTTATGCCCTACAACTTTTTTAACTTTGAAGGTTTATTAAATAAGAAATCAATCACCAAAACGTGCAATTGGGAATTGTTTTTTAATACACGTCACTACGTTCGGGCATTTATAGTAATAGTTGTGATAAATAGTTGAATTTGTATGGACTTAAAATCTACCAATTTTTTACATTCTTTCTTAAAAAAAAGAGTAATTTCCCAAAATGGCCTTTATAATAAGGTATTTTTCTAATTTAGTCGCCAATATGTTTTTAATTACCTATGTGATCTTCTATAATTGAGATTTATTCCCTAGATAGTTTTTCGTAAATAATGTTACTCGAATGATGACTAATTGGAGGCTATTTTGGTATTTTTATCATCTAAATTTAAACTATATTTTTGAAACGGTCATTTCTGTATAACTAAATATAAAATTAAAAAAAAATACATTAACCACAAATAATCCATGAATTATTAAAAACTTATAAAAGATCTTTTAAATTTCAAATAAAAAGATAATGTCTTCCACATGACACGTTAAGAACTTCCACTATTCAAAAGGTATAGGTTCTGCTTTTCTTTTTGAATTTAGATTGCACTGAAAATCAGGATGTTGTTGGCCACGTAGTAGTGCATAAATGTGCGTATAATGCTTTCATGTTTTGTTGATTCCACCATTTTCGTTCTCTTTTTCTTCTAAACCACAATAGAGAATTTGAGATAGTGGAAAATGAGAAACACACCGACATGGTAGGGGTGAGTAAAAAACCGAATTAACATACCGGACGGTAACGAATTATTTATAATGTTTTTAAATGAGATTGGTTTTTTTTTATCACGAATTGAAACCAAGCCGATATCAAACTTGATAGAACCGTGATACACATATCTATCTAACACCGATTATCACAGACTGAATCATTCAAAGCTATATACGATGTATCTCAAATAATTATTTGTCTGCTTCATCTTATCGTGGAGTACTTCGTATTGTATTATTCATTTTTTTCAATATTCTTTCATTGTTATTATTGTCATTATATTTATTACTACTATTAGCATTATTTTTTAAAGTTATTAATAGTCTGATATTATATAAAATCTATTTTTTTAAATTCCGATTTGTTATTTTTTATTCTTTCTATTTATGATCATTTTAAATTTGAAACCAATACTTCTTTTTTAACAAACTTGTGTTTTTTAATACAAAATTATGCTTTTATTTCAATATTCTTTGTGTGGTGCATGTTCATTTTTTTGGCACGGTTTGAGCATGTGATGGTATTGTACCGTTCCGTTTCAAAACGGAATGGTACAAAATGGTTTTAGGGTTTATATCGTACCAGTGCTCAACCGTTTAAATAAGAGCAGTCTGCGATAGGTTCTGGTAGTAATCACAGAAGGTCAGGGATCGCGCCCAGTCTTACAAAACCGCACGCATCACAAAATATATTCCCCCCTCTAAAAAAGTCCTTTCTCGTTCGCTAGACTAAATTTTCTTTACTTTATTTGTCTTACTTTTATTGTCCCTTTATAAAATAAAATAGTCATCATGTTATTTCTAGCTTTATAGATCTTTAAGGGGCTGTTTGTTTCAACCTCTTAATGGTTCAGATGTCTGAATGATTCAGCACTTAATGGTTCAGACTGTTTGTTTCAGCCTCTTAATGGTTCAGATGTCTGAATGGTTAAGAGATTTGCCTCTGAATGGTTAAGTATTATACAGAGTCTGAATGGTTAAGAGCTGTTATCTGAATTGATCAGACATTTGCCTCTGAATAGTTAAGCAATATACTAGCTCTTAATGGTTCAGACCTCTTACTGGTTCAGCACTTAATGATTCAGACCTCTTACTGGTTCAGCACTTACCCATTCAGAAGTTGCCAAACAGCCCCTAAATGTAGTCCATTCCAAAGTGTTCTATACTTTACGTAAAATGTATAAAATTCCAAGTTGATTTAGTTTTTTTATTTAAGGATTGATATAAAAATTAAAAACAAAATTCCACAGAACAAGAGATGAAAAAAATATGGGAGAGAGACCAAAGTAGGACTAAAACATTAAAATTATATCAAAATAGGACTTCCATGTTTTTATTCCCGAAATAGAACTTACATTACCAAACATGGTCATATACATTACCAAAAAGTATAGTAATGTGCACATGTACACTGCCACATTACTACAGTGCAAAGTCACATTACCATAATGCAAAGTCTTATTTCGAGAAAAGAATATGAAAGTCCTATTTTGATACTTTTCTCTATGTTTTAGTCTTATTTAGGGTGGTTTCTACAAAAATATCTTATTTTGTCAAATAATTAATGAAATCATACAAATAAACAAAAGTTATCGAGATGAAGGAGAAAATAAAATTATAATTAAAATGGTAAATACATTTGTGGTGGGCAAGTAACACGAGTACCAACATAGGATACATAGTGATTTCCTCCGTCTTTGGTTCCAATAAAAAATGAAAAGAAAGAAGAATTAAACTATTTTAACACTAAAACTTGTATTCTATTTTGTACTCCAAAGGCATACACTGACATTTTGTGCTATTCTGTGCTATTGTCTTGCTAGTGTGTTGATTTACATTGACAAAAAATATTTGGTGTAAATTTTTTAATTCAACCAACAATTTGTGCCATTATAAACCATTAAAATATCGGTGAACTTTTTAAGGATAGAAATTAGAACACTTTTTGGTATATGACTAACATGGTTGAAGAAAAAAAATACTCCCTCCGTCCTAAAACTTTCTTCCCACTCTTCATTTTTCTCCGTCCTAAAACTACCTTCTCATTAGAAAAAAAGATGACAAATGACATTAATACCCTCATGTATTTACACCAATTATCTTCTAACTCTATATTTTGAATGATTGCAAAAAACAAATTCAAAAAATCTTTTTTAAGGAAGGTAAAATTTGAAGTCAAAACCAAAAATTAAAAATGGAGAAAAGTTAAACTGAGAAGAAAATTTTAGGACGGAGGGATTACTTGACCGCCACTGATTGTGGCGTATGCAACGAGAATTATGCGAACGCAAAAGTCAATGAATCTCACTTCCAAAAAGGACATTATCCTTGGGTTGTTTCCGTCGGAACTACTCGGAAGGATGAAATTGAGGAAATTCTTACTTTAAAAGAAGATCGGGCCGATCTTCTTAGAATGTCCGGGTTTGTAAACCCGATTTTTATTATCATAAACAAATTACATCTATTTCAATTTTTTAAAACCTGATTAAAAATCATCCTAAATATGAGTAAAACATAAAAAAAATATTAAAATAGGAGGTTTATAATTGTGTTCTTATTAGAAATAATATATGTATGAGGAAATAAAATATTATTATTTATTACTCCCTCCGTCCCAAAATTGTTATTCTCACATTCCTTTTTGGCATGTCTGAAAATATTCTTCCCATTTTCTTTTTAAGTACTCCCTCCGTCCCCAATTTGATTAAAAAAAAATTTCTCTCTCTTCTCGATAAATTTTTTTATTTACGTAATTTCATTAAGTATTTGATAAAATAAAATATTCTTGTCACCTCTTGTATTGTAGAACTTTTGACATAATTTTTTACGAGTAATATGTAATTTTTATTTCTTATCGATATACCGATTTGTAAATAAAATGATTTCAAAAAGTGAGATATTTCTCCTCGTAAGCCCCAATTTGTAATTAAATTGGAGACGGAGGGAGTATAATTTTTAAGCATAAATTTCAATAATACCCTTTTATTCTATCACTAGTCAACTTTTTTATTCCATTTTTAATAAGAAAATGAGATTTAAAAGTTTATAGTATGTGTATTTTAAAAATTTGGCATTTTTTACTATTTCTTAATAAGCGTGTCAAGTCCACGTGGGAAGAACATTCCCGGACGAAGGGAGTACTTTATCAGGAATAATAATTCCTAAAATACGAGTTTGCACTGTGATAAAGTATAATTGCATTTTGGTCATGATTGTCACGGTATATTCATTATAACTCTTATTTCAAGAATAAAATATAAAACTTCTATTTTGGTATATTTTTAATATTTTACTCACATTTTAATTTTCTTCCCTAAAGTGATGCTTCTAAAACAAGGAAACGTTTATAATACATTGGTACTTTTTTTGGAATGTTTCTTATAAACTTCAAATTATGGGGTTTCAAAACAAAAAAAAGAGTAAATTTCATAATTGGTTCTTTATAACAGGGGGATTTCCCTATTTAGTTCTCTATTATCAAATATTACCCCAGTAGTCCTTTTTTTATGGTATCTTTCCACAAATAGTCCTTTTTTGATCGTCTATCATGTTGGTGTTAATTTAAGAGCTAAAAGTGTAATTTCAAAATGATAATATATCTTTTTTGTCATTCACAATTCCAAAGATTGTTCCGTTTGCGTCGTTTGTGAATTAGAGTCGCTTTCAACTACAACCATATTCTACAAATGTTGTCTTTCGTCCGAATCCTAGCCTACATGTTAGACAATGCGTGCAACTCTAGAAGGGGAGTGAATAGAGTTGTTGAGAATATTTACCGATTTTCGCAGGATTAAAAAGATAAACGAAAGTGCAGCGGAAATAAAAGAGAGAAGGCAAAGAACAGACTGATGTATACTGGTTCACCACCTCTTGGCTAGTCCAGTTCCCCGAGAGACTCTCTCGAAACTACCACTACTTCCGTTACACTTACGGGTGCTTAACAAACCATTTACAACTCGAGAACTTGAATCTCACAAGCCTCGACACAACCGCTTGTAGATATGCCCTCTACAAGACTTCACACTCAAGACTTAAGTCACATAAGTCTTATACAATAAGAAGAATAATCTTATTAAGCCTCACAACAATAACTCTCACAAGAGTAGAAATGAGAAAAGATTAAGCTCTATGGATGATAAGAACACTCTCTTGAAAAACAATTAGTTTTCTCTCAAAATATATAAATTTGAGTAAGAATTGAATGGAGGATTATAACCTCAAGATAGGGGAGTTTTGGAGTGCTTGTTCATGCTCAAAAATGATCAAAGAATGAAGTTTATAAAGGGGTTGAAGGAATATGTCCGTTGAAACTTAGAAAAAAGGTGTTGCTGAATTTTCAACAAAAAAATCAATTTTTGTAACCAAAAAATCGATTTTTTTTCTTCTGAGAAAAATTTCTTCAGCAGACGAAATGAACATCAATTTTTGCCAAAGTGTAAAAATCGATTTTTGAAGCAATTATGCCCGAACATGAAGGACACAATCATGTGTGCGGGGTGAAGTGCTAATTTGGATTTAAAATTTGAATTATGAGAATATATTTTTGGTGTAGAAAATGAGTCCCAAAAAATATTTTATGTGTCAAACGATGAACATGAAAATATTTGAATAAAATATTTTTGCTTTCCAAAAATATTTTCTAATATCAAAATAAATATTTTGATAAATGTTTGACACACCTTTTGTAACTGACTTAATAAATGTATTTTGAACAGTTAAAAAGGATTTTTCAACTGACTCCAAAAATATATTATTTTTATATAAACTCTCATAAAAATAATTTTGAAGAGAATATATTTTTGTCATCCTTACAATAATTCCTAAGACTCAAATAAATAAAAAGTCTTCGGAAATCTTCTACTCCTCCGAGTCTTGCGTTAGGTGCTCCGAACGCGTCTCGGACTCTAATAAAATCCTGTGCACCTTCTTGAATACTACAAGGAATGGCACTTCAAGTCTTCGTGTTTGTCGTTGTAGCACTTTGATCTTGACTTGAACAAATTGTGTTTGTCAATTATCAAAACCTGTGAGTCAACACTTACAACATAGAAAGGGTTGAACTCATGCATTCCAACACTACAATCATAGTCATTATTTTTGTGTTATCCGCTTAACCAATATCAAAACACGTCACTAGACATAATGTTGATGTCAAATTATACTTTTAGTCTTTAAATTAATACCAACATGGCAGAAGATAAAAAAGGATCATTTGTGGAAAGGCACCCTTAAAAAAAGGACTATGGGGTAATATTTGATAATAGAGGACTAAATATGGAAACCTCCCTAGACCGATTATGGAATTTACTCAAAAAACAATTGTGACAATATATCTACACGCACAACCCGTAATTCGAAAAGTGATTCAAATCCCCAAATCGGGATTCTAAAACGAGAAAGAACGAAAAGAAAAAAACCATAATCGGGATTCCAAAACCCGATCATCTCTCTAAGGAATTTGCCGCAGAAAATGTTCCCTCTGAGGTAAATTCTCCATTATCCTTGAGGATTTCTGTATGTACTTATGACACTCCGGTAGTCCGGTGCACTGTACGTGGGTCCACCAAAAAATTCTCAATTTTATTGATCAAAAATGAGGAAGGGATGATAATGCAACGTATCAGCGTTACAAGGAATGATATATGAACAAATGTGAATAAACTTGATACACTAATTAAATAACATGATCGCTTTCTGATTAAAGTTATTTTGGAATATATGAAAATATTTCAATAAGATAAGACGTTAGTATCAAGAACGAGTATGAAAATTTTATTGTTTTTCAAACATACCCTGGACTCCATATGTATAGAGCTCAAATTGATTAGACGAGTCTCTTGACGAAACAACACAATTTTATGCAAAACTTTTGGAATAATAGAATAATTAGTTTACTTGAGAATAATAGAGCATACAAGAAAATATATAGTTAGCATTCCTAACACAAGTAGGAATGTAACACCCCAATTCGCGTAACCTGAATACATAGACTAGTGGATCGGCTTGTCACTAGATTTGGCATCCAAACAAATTAAATCTTATTTTCAAAACACTTTAAAACATTCAATTCAAAACAACATTTAAATATCCATCAAGTATCTTAAAATAGTGCAGAAGCCTAAGTACTTAATTCAAACACAACTTTGAATTCTTGCTCGAAAAACATAATAAATCCAAACTCAAATATTTAATTAAGTAAACTCTTCAGCCTGCATCCATCAATCTCCCCGTCCTCGCCCTCCAAGATTGGCTCCATATTTATCATTCCTATTACCTACGTGTAGCAAGTAAAACAAATTATGCACTCAGCTTTCACGCTGAGTGAGAGATTCTAGAAGCCACACATAGAATTAATTTAGCATACATAATCATTCATAGGATTCCATCCACAAGTAATATCACTCATGAAGGGTAACCCCACATCACCAAGAAGAGTACAGAAGGGCCATATTAGACCCCACAAGTCACGTCCTGAGGAAACACTTTGTCCGCTAGGCAGTCAGTAGACCGAGTCCGTCTGCTTGGCTCATCCATAGCCGTTCCCTTTTGCTTGGCTCATCTTTGGTCGAGTATGTCTCCTCGACACATCTATGATCGAGCCCGTCTGCTCGACTCATCCTTGCTCGAGCCAGTCTTCTTGGCTCATCAATGGTTGAGTCTGTCTGCTCGGCTCAACCATGGTCGAGTTTATCCACAGGTAGATAGAGTTGTAGTCGACAAAGAGATTTATGCAGCTCACGCTTACCGTTGTTTCTACAATGTGGGGATGTCAGGATTGATTCGTCAAATGGGAAATCACCCACAAGGTTCCACCAACGAGGGACATGGACTAGAGGACAAAGGAATATCACGATGGGTAGCAAGGTTCCATACGTCAATGACAATAGGTAACACACAAATAAGTGTCAATCACAGTCTATTGCCGGTGTAGCTAACGATACTATAAATACTCCTATCCCATTACTCGTATAGAGATCCGACTTTAAGCTATTTTACTCCTACTTTTGCACTCTCTCGCTCTCTATCTTAAATCTTTTGCTAACTCAACTTAACGACCCCATCGTCGGCCTACTCAGTGGTTTCTAAGCGTCAAATTGGTACTCTTATTAAGAGTAGAGAGACATATTCGTAGGTTAACTGTAACACCCTGAAAACCGGCTTAGTAGTTAGTTGTTATTTTGATAAAAACAAATATATTATTTTCTGACTTTAAAATATGAATATTTGTAAAGGTTAGCTTTTTATTTAAAAATTACATTTTTAGGTAGATCTCGTAAAATGGTGACCAATGATATATAATTTGTTAAGTTTGGACTTACATGTATAGCGTGATGAGTGAAATAGACATTAATGGTGTAAATTATCGACCGATATATCATTTTTAGCCGGGCAAAAACAATAAACAAGTGTAAAAAATACACCAAAATATAAACACGGGAATTTTGACGTGGAAACCCAAATTGAGAGAAAATCACGGGCCTTTTTGGCGGTACCTTGCCAACAGGGGATTTTTATTAATATAGGAGGTTGTACATGGTACTTGATTTGGGCTCGGAAGCCATTAATGGAAGCTTGAAGCTTCTTTGGAGAAATAAAATATACAATATTCTAGAGAGAGAGAGAAAGAACAATTGGGCAGGGAAGGAGATGAAATTGAGAGAGGCCCCCTCTTCTTGGTGGAATACCTCTCCTTTTATAGGAGGGAGGAGGAGAATCTTTTGAGGAGTATTCTCTTATTCCTCCATTTTATTAAACAAACCCGGTTTGACTATTCTTCATAAATAATTGGGAAATGTGGGCCGAGACACGTATTATTTCCCATCAAGAAGTCCTCCACTTTTTTAAGTTATGAGAATCATCAACTTAAAAAAGTAAACAAGTCCTCCGAGTGTATCTACAGTCTTTTTACTTTCCATTCTTGACCGGTTGATATTGTTAGTCCTCCGAGTCTTCATTAATTCTCTAATTTCTTGAATCAAATGTTTTTCCTACAAAAATAATATGTACAATACATTTTTTTTGACCGGCCTATGCCATGCTCAAATAATTATTATCTTTACCGAGGAGCTCGATGTTAGGGTGATTAAAATATGCGTGAATGATTATCGTAACAAGAGCGATGTCAGTTCGATAAGCAACGATGCTTCGAGTAGTTAAATGACACCGGAGTTAGTACGATGAAGCAGCGGTGCTTCAAGTAGTTATTTTGCCAAGACTGGTGTTAATACGAGTCAAGAAAACGATGCGTGACGAAATTAGTATACTGATGACAACGACGTTAGTTAATAAGAATTGAATCCGATGCGGTAGCTTTGTTGAAGATCAGTGTTAGGCCGGCTGACTGATGTAAATATCTTCATGTCTCGCGGAGACCATCTTCGATAATAGTGCCTCAGATAGAGGGCTTAAAATGAGTCGGGCGTTCCCGATATGAGCTCAACTCACTTTTTGCTGAAACCGATGTGCAACCGGTGTACCCAATTCGATTGGGCTTAGGCTCATTGGAAAATATGTGCAAGACCGGTGTGAGACCAGTGTACCAGTTCGACTAGGTCACATATTTTATTTATTGTACTGAGCAAAACCGGTGTAATAACCAGCGTGCCAGGCCGGGCCTGTGTCTTAGTCTTCCTATAAGATAATGCTGCCGGCCGGGCCAGATCAACATTGGAGAATTAACCATGTCGGATGGTTTTGTGCCCTCTCCAAGGCCCAAAATGCACCCTTCTTCCAGGGCCCCTTCTTCCAGGTGATTAAGTATTTTAATAGTCCTTTGATATTTACTATCCCAAGAAGGCCTTAGCTCACCCTCTCGTTCAAGTCTTCCCTGAGAAGGGGGGATCCGAACCGGTCGGAGTAGAATGCATTGCGGTGAATGATCCTTTTCTATTTCTTTTAATGGACATCTTTTAGTTCCCAATCAGTTTGTCGGTTTCGGCCGACTCCCCGATAACGGTCAAACTTCATGAGTCCGTGTACGTACGGTTCGAACCCTCTTCCATGTCCAGTCCTCTTCCAGGCATACCCCTTATCCGGGGCCCCTCTTCCGGGTTTATCTTTTTTTTATTTTATACTGAGCAAGACTGGTGTAGTAACCAGCGTGCCAGATCCGGGCCTGTGTCTCAGTCTTCCTTTCCAAATTCGCATAAATGCATGGGACATTGATGTACTTTGATGAATTGCATCAACTACTCGTGAATAAGAATGTCTTCCTTCAATGTACACCTTGCAATGAGCTCATGTAGTGCCATCATTTGTTAGCTAATAATCCCATGCTCTAATTTGGATTTTTATGCTTGGCAGCTCACCACCATATACTCCCATTAAAATCAAACTCTTTTGTACGGAGTATTTTATTAAATCAAAGAGATGGGCCCTCTCTTCTCCATGATGAATGTGGTGGACCATTGTATCTTTCTCATCTACTCAATTGAAATTGCTGGGCCCCATGGAGAAATAAGTGAGAGGTTACTTTCTGCACAACCCCAACTTTTTTATAGGACTAGTTCATTGTTCATCCTATTTGGCTCTTACTCCGTAACTTTCTCTTCTTTTTTTGCTTGTCTTCTTCTCTGTCGGGATCGCACACGCCTTTCCACGAACCTGGAATCGAGCCAAAACCATCATCTTTGAAGCTCTTGCTCTTGGGCCAGACGCTGGTGTCGATTACTCCGATGACAATACCGCTCTCATATGCGGCCAATCCAAACAATAAGTAATCCAATTCAAGTCTCAAAAACAATGGGGTTCTTGTTGTGTGGAGCATGTACTTCCTCTCCAGCCGCACAGACAAAACTCTAGCCTGATTTTCAAGAAAAAGAGCTTCGTCCGCTGTGAGCTTGGCTGAGGAGCTATCCCGGCTGCAAGAGGAGGAGGAGGGGTGACGGCATAAAGCCAGCCGCCTCCCTCACAGCAAGAGGCTGACTTTATCCACGACGGCCTCATTCTCAAGGTAAAAGGGAGGTTTGGAACGAAACCAGAGTGTATCTGCGGCAAAGCGGAGGTATGGCGGCTTCCGTCATTTCGGATTCCTAACCAAACTAGTCACCCTTTTCCCGACTGCAGGAGCGAGAGCAGGAGGAGGAGGGATGTCCGAGCATGAAATATCTTCCCTGAAAAGAGGGCCGTTTGCCAGAGCGGTGGAGGAGCTCTGCAGTATCTGCCTGGACGAGTTCCGTTGCGGGTCGTTGGTGGTTATTACCCTGCCGCCGCCGTGCGACCAGGTGTTCTACAGCCGCTGTATCGCCAGGTGGCTGCACAGGAACAGGACGTGCCCAGTCTTGCCTTTCTTGAGATTGGAATTTGGAAATTCCCTAAAATTAGAGATTCTCATCTTCTTGTTGTGGGAGTGGATTGCAGCGGCGGTTGCTCCCGTCACTGCGACGAAGGTGGCTTCTAGAGATTGAGGATGGCAAGTACTCTAGACAATCAGCGGCGGCACCTCTTCAGGTCTCTCTCTCTCTCTCCTTTTTTGTAAAATTCAAGAACAGCTTGCTCTATGCAGGCCAATTTCTAATTCCTTCTCTGTTTGATACTCCAAAGCCCAAACTCTCCTCCACCCTTATGGAGGGAGGAGAAGTTAGGTCCCACGGCCGGCGCCAAAATTATGTTGTAAATTATCGACCGGTATATCGTTTTTAGCCAGGCAAAAACGATAAACAAGTCTAAAAAATACACCAAAATATAAACACATAAATTTTGATGTGGAAACCCAAATCGGGAGAAAACCACGGGCCTTTTTTGGTGGTACCTTGCCAACGAGGGATTTTTATTAATATCGGGGGTTGTACATGGTATTTGATTTGGGCTCGGAAGCCATTAATGGAAGCTTGAAGCTTCTTTGGAGAAATAAAATACTCCCTCCGTCCTAAAATTAACTTCCCAGTTTGACTTTTGTAGTCAAACTTTTTAAACTTTGACCGTAAATTTATAAATTTATTAGCAATAGATTCATTTTGAAACATAGTTTTGAAATATATAATTTTTATAAAATATATTTCTATAAAAATTGAAATATTGATGGTCAAAGTGTCGCATTGGAGACCGTGAAAAGTCAAATGAGAAGTTAATTTCAGGACGGAGGGAGTATACAATATACGATACTCTAGAGAGAGAAAGAACAATTGGGCAGGGAAGGAGTGGAAATTGAGAGAGGCCCCCTCTTCTTGGTGGAATACCTCTCCTTTTATAGGAGGGAGGAGGAGCATCTTTGGAGGAATATTCTCTTATTCCTCAATTTTATTAAACAAGCCCGGTTTGACTGTTCTTCGTAAATAATTGGGAAATGTGGGCCGAGCCACGTATTATTTCCCATCAGACATTACAATTTAATAAATAAATATACATATTTTTTATTATATAATGATAATAATTAATAATAACTTTCCTAAATCTACTCAAGTCACGAGCCCAAATACAACCCTTTATAAAGATATCTACGGAGTACTGGGTCTTGGGAGCAGTCATGTTCATTAGCTTTCTTCTTCGCCGTGTGACAGAGTTTCCAGAGGAGATTTCACTGGAGACAACAACTCGTGAATCTGTCTTCTTAATTTAATTAAGGTGATTACGTGGACATCTATCGCTAAATTATTCATATAAGTTTGAAATTCACGTTCATGATCTTGTATGATCGATTATGTGTAAGTTTATAATTGTTTGGGAGAATAAGTTATGGGTTTGTTCTAGCATATAAATTGTAGATTCGTTATTGTGAATTGTTTGTTTATGAATGTTTTATTATGGCTTAATTGAGAATTGATTGATCGAGGAAGACCATGTATGTTTTCTTACTCCCAAATTACGTGGTTGTGTGTCAATAGCTTCTGTAAAGATCAAAATTGATAACTAGTATGCTTGGAACTGACTCTTGAGCTTGATATGCAATTTCCGACCCAGATGGTAGTGAGATACCGCCTAACAGTACTTGGGTACTGCCATAGGGCAAATTCCTCTACCGAAGCTTGTGCTCGGACATTCGAGGGGTACCAGACTGACGGTCCAACAAATGAGGTCAGACATTGAAGTATTTTCCTTGTAGTATAACATTCTGCCGTGGACCGAATAGGGAGCCCTTAAAGTTCCATTCGCGGCCGTGGTATACAAGGCGGCGAGGTCCGGCATCGAAGTATTTTCCTTGCAAATCTGGTCTAACAAATGAGGCAAAGGCTGAGCATATAGAGTGAAAAGGGTCGCGGTGTCGTCCTCTATATGGCGGCGTGAGACAGCATCGGCTACCCGGTTAGAAGCGCCGGGTTTATAATGAATCCGAAAGTCGTACCCCATGAGTTTGCGTATATAGAATTGTTGATCCGGTGTTTGAACCACCTGGAATAACAATTCCTTGAGGCTCCGTTGATCCGTGCGAATGACAAACTCCCTACCCCAGAGGTACTGGCGCCACTAGTGGACGCCCCCGACGATGGCGTATAACTCTTAATGATAAGTGGAGGCGAGCTTTCAGCGGAGGCCAAACTTCTTGCTAAAATAAGCAATTAGGTGATTATCCTGTAGCAACACCGCCCCTGCGCCATCATCCAAAGCATCTGTTTCGAGCACAAAATGTTTGGAGAAATCTGAAAGTTGCAAAACTACTGGCATCATCAAGTGAGAAGCATGTTGAACTAGAGTAGGACTATAGATCAAAAGATCATCGAAAAAGACAATAAAAAACCGTTGTAGATAAGGAGCAAAAACATGATTCATTGCCGCCCGAAAGGTGGAGGGTGCGTTGGTTAGGCCGAAAGGCAAAACTCAAGCATCGAGGTAAAGAAATGCATTTATTTCTCTGGAGAAGTATCCGACTTGAGTTCAACTCACGGTATTGTATCCAGATAGGGAAGGTTGAACACATTTGATCTATAGAATTGAGGAAAAGGAAGAGATTGAGAAGGGAAAGGGGAAGACAATCATTGATCGGCGAGGAGGAGAAAGGGAGTTTAGGGCTAGGAAAATATTTCATTATTCATTGAATAATAACTCCATGGTAGTGATACATTTATAGTAGACCTGTGCAAACAAGGGTTGGCCCGTCCGGCCCGCCCAGCCCCCCTTTAAAAAGGACGGATATGGACAACCTTTAATACCCACATGGGCGGGCCGGCCCGAGCCCGAATTGTATTTGGGCGGATCTGGAGGTTACTTTTAGCCCATCCGGGCCAACTGGCCCGCCCATATTCATAAAAAATATTCACTTTATTATTAATTATCTAGCCAATATAATTTTGAAATTTTTTTTAGTTCGTGTATAATGGTTCAATTAACTTACCTCTTAAACAAAAATCAATATTCTTTTAATGAATTAGTATGATGGGTTTATTAATTATGCAACAATACCTTTGTTATGTTTTCGATGTAAATTTGGTGTTTTTTGGATTTTTTGTGCGAAAAAAGTTTTCTTGGTGTTTTATCCGGGCCGGGCGGCCCAGTGGGTAGTTCGGCCCGCTAAGGTGGGCGGGTATGGGTAAAGAGTTTAGCCCATCAAGTTCGGGCCGGGTTAGAACCATCCATGTGAATGGGCTAATAATTTGTATCCAGCACGACCCAGATCTGGCCCGGATCCTTATTTGCACAAGTCTAATTTATAGCTAACATATCGAAGGAATCCTAATCAGAAAAGGCAACTAAATAAACTAGGAAACTAATTAATCACCTAACAAATATAATATTCCCTAATAATAGTTAACTAACTATAAATAATTCTTTACCACAATAATAATAATAATAGTCCTATAACACTTGATACGGTATCGTATTTGGATAGGGAAGGTTGAGCACCTTCGATCTATAGAATTGAGGAAAAGGAAGAGATGGAGAAGGGAAAGAGGAAGACGGCCGTTGATCGGTGAGGAGGAGAAAGGAAGTTTAGGGTTAGGGAAATATTTCTTTATTCATTGAATAATAACTCCATGGTAATGATACATTTATTTATATATAGCTAGCATATCGAAGGAATTCTAATCACAAAAGGCAACTAAATAAACTAGGAAACTAATTAATCACCTAAAAAATATAATATTCTCTAATAATAGTTAACTAACTATAAATAATTCCTTACCATAATAATAATAATAGTTCCGTAACAATTTCTCATTCAACCGAGCACCATTTTTTGCGCTTAATATGTCAGAACACCTGTCTCACTTAAAAGATTATTTGTCCATAATTATTTTGAAAAATATTTTATGGACCCCACTGAATTTACGTCTAAAGTTGTCCCGTTACAATCCAAAAATTCCAACAGAATAAAACATCGTGAAAAAATGAATAAACTCCAAACTCATAACAACTAACTAACAAAGGAAAAATATCTATAAAATTGATGAGTGTTTTGGAATACTTGGATCAACTCAGAGATTCGTCTCTCTCCTTCGTCTCTCTGGCTCGAAGCTTCACCGTAATATTAAAACCCTATATTGTAGCATCATACATTAGAGCATTAAAGAGGAAAGATTGAGGGTCAAATTAGGAATTTCAATACCTTTTATTATTAAAATAACCAGAGTAAATGTAGCGAATGGTGTAATGGACGGAAGTCACCTCCTTAGTCATAATAATATATTTAAAGCCCCAAAAGTGAGTAGGTATATGGTACAACCAGATGTACCTAGAGATAGGTACATCTGGGTACAAGTCATTTTGAAATAGATAGTATTCATTTTCGCACAAACATAATTATAGCGTGGTACTCATTTTAAAGAAATCTAGTACTCATTCTACAAAATGTAGTATTCATTTTCACAAATTTATTCAATACAATTATAAAATTTATCTACAAATAAGTGTACATTCTGAAATAAAATAGTACTCATTCTAAAAAAACTTAATGTTCATTCTCAAATAAAAAAATCATACTATAAATAATTTTCTTTTTTCTCTCACCCGACCCGCTACCCTCTCATCCCATCGATCGATTCCTCCACTAGGTTTTTCAGCATCTCTCCTCCAACCTATCAACAGCTTCCTCGATCGATCGTGCACATCTCCTTTCCATACAACAACTTTTTTCCTCCCGACCCGACGCAGCTTCCTTCCTCCGACCCGACCCGACTAGGAGCACCTCCTTTCTCTTCCGATCGACCTGACCGGTTGTATAGTATATAATTTGCGCCCAAAATTATATTTAGAAAAAAATATGGAACCTGTAAATCTTTATCACAGAATAAGAGGTATCTAATAGCAATTTTTGAGTGTTGAACTTAAAAACCATTGGAGGACCCAATCAAGGCCATAAGCAATCGGACATGCGCCCGGCCCAAACGAATTTCGCAACGTGGTTGACATTATCGTCCAAGAAGCATCCATAACCGTTCATTTTCTTGATGATCGCTGAAAGCCGCCATCTCAAAGAAGTTCGTTGATTCCTATTCTGATTTCCTGTCCACAAAAGTAAACCCTAATCCTAAATCTCGCCATTCTGCTCCGTCAGTTTCGATATCCCAGAACCAAGGTGGTTCTTACTTTCTCAGATTTACGTTTCTAGATTTTGCGGAAAATCAATTATACGCGAATTGATTTAGTTTTCCATTTGATTAATCGTTCATTTTCTGCGTCCTTTTTGTTCGGGATTCTTGTTGATTTTGCAGGGTTGATTATGGCGGACGATATGGCTACCAACGGAGATGTGTTCGACGATGCTGAGATCGGCGTTGAAGACGACTCCGAAGGAGAATTGAAGACGCACGCGCTTAACCAGAAACTGGCCGCGTTGGAGCAGGAGAAGCTGGAAGTGATCCATGAAAACGAGGTCGTGAAGGAGAGAGTCGAGAAGCTGAAGAAGTCAATCGAGGAGCTTGAGCGCCAGAAATCCGAGTTGCTGAAGAAGGTTGAGAAATTTGAATTGGAGAGCGAGGGTATGGGAGTGGTGGCTGTGCGAGCCTCTCAGCTTGAGGGTGAGGTGGATCGTCTGCAGCACGAGCTCGCCATAGCCAAGACAGCTCTGGCAGAATCAAAGTCCGAGGTTTCGCATCTGAAGGCAGCCTTGGATAGGTTGAAAGGCAGTGAAGAAGAGAGCTTAGGGAAACTCAAAGCGGTTGAGGCAGAAATGGATCTGCTTGTTTCAAGATTGGAGAAGTTGGAAAGTAGTAGGAGTGATCATATAGCTGAGTTGGAAGCTAAGGAACTGGAGATTATCTCTCTAAAGAAGATAGTTGTCGATTTAGAGGATGCTGTGGTGACCAAGAATGGGTCAGAGAAGGCGAAGGATGCGGTAGAGAAGGAGAAGAATGAGCTAGAGAAGAAAACAACAGAAATGTTGAAGAGAATCACTGAACTGGAGATAGAGTTGAAGGAGAAGAAAACGGTGATATCTGAAAGGGCTGTTGATGGTGGCGTTAATGGGTGCCCCGTGTCAAATGGTAAGAGATATGGATGTGATCTTAAGAAGGGGTGGCCTGTATTTGCAGGGTCTGCGGCAGCTACCATTGCTGTAGGATGTGTTGTGTGCTACCTGCACCAGAAGCAGAGGAAGGCATAAATCACTTTGGAGGACGAGGTTTTTGTCTGACCCAGACTTTTAAAGACAGTTTTGGTAGTACCCATATCTATTTTTGGCTTTAGTTTTTCAGGGTTTCTTTTCACATGTTAGATTAAGGTCTTTGTTTTGGTTGGCCAGTAATAAAGAGATATGCTACTGGGGCTAAACTGGAATCAATGAAACACTTTCCAGTTAGTATTTGCTGAATCTTTGATTAACCCTCAAATTGTTTGTTTATAGTTTGCCATTTATAACGCATTATCGTGAAGGTTTTGGTTTGCCTCGTGTCTAAGTGTGCTTACTTCTGTACTGTCTATGATATTTTGCAATAATTTCGGCCTCTAATGGTCATATTAAAGCTATTCATTTAATACAGTACTATGTCTTGCTACATTTGCCTCCCAAATAGTGCATCTCTATAAAAGGATAATGATGGTTTGTGTGATTGGATTGAGATGTTGTGATCTTGTTTCATGCTGCAACATGTTGCATGAGCCCCTTTTAGAAGGAGGCTGAATTCAGTTGTACTTTTTACAAGTATGTGCCCATTTGCAGCAGGAATTTCTTTATTTCTCGGTGAGGTTAACATGTGTCAAACTTGCATTTGTTAACGAGTTTCTTCAACCATTTTGCATGCATATCTTGAGGGGTAATGCCAGGGAACCCTACATATGACATCACGTTTGACACCAAAGACACATACATCCGCAGACAATGGTGTGCTCCTATTCTATCAAAAGCTTGTTTTGAGTATATTTGTTGCTCAATATTGCTTATGAAGTTTATAGAAACAAAACAGCTCGTAGAAGCACAAGACATGAATTTCACATCGGACTTGTGATCCTAAGTCTTAACTACTCCCTCCGTCGCGCTATATTCGTCCAGTTTTGACTTTTGGAACTGTTCATTTAAGCACTTTGACTCATCAAATTCTCTCAATGTGTAAGCCTAAATATAGTCATGTGTGATCTTGTTTGATTTGTCTTAACATATAGATTATTAATATATAATTTCTATAATTTTTTAATATACAAATTACAAGATAAAATGGATTAAATAAGTGCATTGGATGGTGTGCAAAAATGAAAGTGGACAAATATAGTGGAAATATAGTGGGACGGAGGGAGTATTCTTCATTCGCTTTGTTTGTTTTTTTTTAACTTTCCACAATTGTACACATCGCCAAATATTATCAGTCTTCTAGAAAGAATATTCAAATTTCAAATCGACTCATTATAGGGTTGCTCTGGACATTCTTGATGTGCTTTAACATTCAAATGAAATGTGGGCAAGTCATCCTAGGAACGTTTGCTTGTTACAATTAAAAAATGAAAAAAAAACCCCAAAACCTCAGGATAGGGAAAATGGTAAGTAGCACCTTCTGGCAGACGGTTGACTTTGGTCAAACTTTAACAAGGAAAGAATCACAAAAGCCATGGGAATCTGATTGCGAGTATCTATTTTAATGTGTCCCTAGAAAATTCTACAGATTGCTCGTAATGAAATCTGGTGGGAGATCTTGATTAGAATATAGGGGCATGGGAGATCTGGAGAAGAGAGATTCGGAGCGTCCGAATGGAGACACGGCGGCGGCGGGAGAGGAGGAAATCGTTAGGGTGGAGAATAGGGTTGCGGAGTTAGACCGGAAGATTATCGAAGAAAGTGTTGACGGATTGGAGGGATCGGCGGCCCAGCTTCCGCTGGCGGCGGCCGCGGCGGTTCCCGTGGCCTTTGCAGCCGTCGTGATCGTTTACTATTTCAGGTTTCGGAGAAAGCGTTGAAGCGTGGAGAGGATGAGTTCAATCTTCACAATCGGGTGGCCGATTCGAGCCCTTCATTGAGTAATGTGATGGACTGTAATCTTATGCAATTGTGTCTACTTTACATTTGAAATCCTATGCGGAGTTGTGATTTTTAGTACTACTTGAAATTCCAAGTATGATGTCGCATATATCAGAGACGCCATCATTTTCAGAGGATTAGAAAACCCTTCAACTTCCTGCAAATGGTGCTGGGTTGTTGAGAAGAGAGTTCCATCTCTCCCTCATTGGCTAGGTGGTACCGGTTCCAGTCCATTCCAATTTCAGGACCGGTTCCGGCTCCAAAACCTTTTTTATTTTTATTTTTTTTGTTTTGTTGAATTGATTTATCTTTTGTGCAAAAATGATACTAATACTTATCTAAAATTTTGATTTTTAAATGTGTTTTTTACTTGTAAAATAGATAAACTAAATGTAATAAATGCCTAACAAAGCTGAAAAATAAAAAAAAGTTAAAAACCGAATTTGGAACCGGAACTGAATTAAAATTAAAATTATTATTATAATAGTTATAATAATAGTATTAATAATTATAAAAACAATAATAATAATGGAAATAATAATAATAGTAAGAGTAATAATAATAATACGGAGTAGTAATAAGAATAGTAATAACAATAATAACTATAATAATAATAATATCAGTAATAATACTAATGGTAATAGTAATAATAACAATAATAATAGAAATAATAATACTCCCTCCCTTCCGTTTTAAATCGCCAGTTTTGACTTTTGGGCATATTTAATGAAAATTAAAAATAAAGTTGATTTTTCGAAATTGTTAATACTTTTTAGGAAGGATGATGATGAATGAAAATATAATGTGGATGATGATGAATGAGAATAGTAATAGTAACAGTAACAGTAATAATAACAATAGTAACAATAACTATAATAATAATAATAATAATAATAATAGTAATAATAATTGTAAAAATAATAATATTATTAATATTACTAGTAATAATAACAATAACAATAATAATAATAGTAATAATAATTATAATCATAATATTAATAGTAATTAAAATTGTAATAATAATAGTAATAATAATGGTAATAATAATAAAAGTAATAATAATAAAAAAGAATAATATTAATTTTGTTTAGATCTTGTCTGATTGGACTTGGTCTGATCTGGTCTTGTCTCATCTGATCTGATTTTAATAAAAATAAGTAATAAGTAGAAAAAATAAGTTGAACGAAACGCTGCCGTAGTTATGATCACAAAATACTCAATCTTATTATTTTATCTTTTTTAAGAAAATTGAATAATTGTAAATAATTAAAAAATTAAACTTGAATATTATGCCCAAAAAGAAGTATAAGTCGCCCACATCAGTCATGAAAAACTTCTCTTTTAGCTTATGTATAGTCTATTGCAGAAAACACATATAGGATGCAATAAGAACAATATGATCCACATAGAGGAGCAAGTATGTCATGTCGGACCTGTGAACAACTGCACATAAGTAAAGAGAGAGATGTGTGACTTTTGCAACAATGGAATTCAATGGCAAGAAGAATCTTGCAAACCGCGGCTACTATGAGTTTATGACTAAGGTTGCATTCTCTTTGTTAGATGTGAACTAAATTTTTTAAGGCTGATCTGATCTGAATGAATATGGCTGTAAAATTATTTCCAAACTCATTTGTTGTAGACTCAAAAAGATTCTACCACAGGTTGTAAATCAAAACCAAGGAACGTATTTGGAGGGAAGAGAATTGCTCCACTATGTGCTATTTTATCAAGAAATTGCTAAAGGCTACAATAGGAAGGCATATTAGCAAGATGCATGATGAAATATGACACACCCGAGCTTATGATCATAGTTTTAAAAACCGGACCGGGAACCGGCAAACCGGAGGTCAAACCGGTCCGGTTCAGCCCCAAAGACCGGCAAGTGCACGGAACCGGTGCAAACCGCCTAAAACCGGGTAGAACCGGTCCGGTTCAACTGATGACAATTTTTTTTTGCACAAATGTTTCAAAAATTGTTAGTGGTGGGTTTCAAACACACAACCTATTGCCCGCTAGCTCGCCTATTTACCATTTAGCTACCATCCCTTTTGTTGCATGAAGACATTATTTGTTATATACTCCGTATTACATTCTTAAAAATAAACAAATATACATATTCTCAAAAGACTTTTTTTATGATTAAAAATTCTAAAAATATAATGTTGAAACTATGATTCAAACTCTAAAATATTGATGCAATGGATTCTAATATGAACTTCATATCATAAAACTATTAACTCATTTAAATATTTTAAAAATATTGTGTAAATTATAAAATAAAAAATATAAGCTCTTATTTTATAATTTTTTATTTGTTTAAATAAATAACTATATATATATATATATATATATATATATATATATATATATATATATTGAATTTTCAAATATGCGTGAACCACTGGTTCGACCACTTGAACCACCGGTCCGACCAGTGAACCAGTACCTTGACCGGTTCGGTCTCCGGTCCGATTCTGAAAACTATGCTTATGATACTATAAATTGGACATCACCCGAGCCTATGATACTATAAGTTGGAAATCTATCGAGTATCACCCCTCCTATTTGTATTAGTTATGGAATACCTTACTAAATCTTAGATCAGTTCTACAAAACGAGAGATGACGAGACTATATGATTTTATCAAATAACTAGCGAAAATAGGTAAAGAAAATGATTTAAGTTTGAACGTGTGAATAGTAACTGGGAAGATAGTTTTAAGACAAGGAGTAGTTGACTTCTAATTTTGCTTTTGTGGTAATGAGTAAAAGTAAGATGTGATAGAAAGAATACTAGAGAAAAAGTACGATGTAACACGTAAAGTAAAAATGTAGGGGTAAAAGTGAATTTTTAATAAAAAGTGGAAGTGTTTTGGTGAACAGATGGAGTAGTGATTAACTTTTAAGGAAAATAAGTTTATGCTATTGGAAGAGGAAAAAATGAAAGAGAAAGCGTTTTGGTGAACAGATGGAGTAGTGATTAACTTTTAAGGAAAATAAGTTTATGCTATTGGAAGAGGAAAAAATGAAAGAGAAAGCGTTTTGGTGAACAGATGGAGTAGTGATTAACTTTTAAGGAAAATAAGTTTATGCTATTGGAAGAGAAAAAAATGAAAGAGAAAGCGTTTTGGTGAACAGATGGAGTAGTGATTAACTTTTAAGGAAAATAAGCTTATGCTATTGGGTCTTCTTATCAATTTTTTACTCCATATTTTAATTCATATTTACACATTTGTTTAAAATTATTTAAGTACTTATTTTTCTACATGCTACCCAAAAATAAAATATGTACTATCAAGTATCAACTATTGAATATTGCACTAAAAATAAACTACGAAGTACTGTATATATTATACTTTGTATTTATAATGAAACAGTATATTGGTTAAACTTTTTTATATTTATTTTTGAATATATTCATTAACATATCGAATCGAACACATACGCATTCGTATTTGTTTTCTTTCGAGTTCTAATAAATATTTATATTCTTATTCGTATTTATTTTTTCGAATATGAATAATTGATTTCAAATACTAATCACGAATTGAATCAAAATTATTCATTCATTTTACAACCCTACCCGTAAGTAAAGACCATATATGAAATTTACTCAACAAGATAAATCATACTGTTTGATCTCTTTTTATAACTCTTCCTTGTATGTTTTGATAGTGATTAACAAAAGCTTGGCGTGGTTAAAAAAAATAGAATCAAAATTTTAGGGAAAAATATTTCTCCCCTCAACCGAACAAACTATTAGAAAGATTTCTTTTTAAACAAAAAAAAACATGATGTTCTTTTGAATCTTTCCTCAATATTTTTCTTTTCTCCAAACCTACCAATAAAAATTCGAAATATGAAGTAGTGGTTTGACTAATTTCTCTTCATTTCCCTTGTTCTCAACTAAACACAGCATTAAAAAAGGGAAGGAATGGTTTAATATTTTCTGAAAAGGATGACTGCGGTGCAGCAGGGGAAAAGGCCAGGCCAATGAAAGCTGTTGAAACTGCGACAACTCGTGAATATACAAAACGAAATGCAACCGCGGCGGAGTGAGAGTACTTTACAAATTGATGAGCCTACTTTTTCCTCTCTCTCTATCTCTTGAACGTAGCCGTTCCGTTCATCTCCCTTCCTCCTCGTGATTCGTGCGACCGGAGAATTACCATCATCATAACCTCCCCCCACCACCCCAAACCCAAATTAATGAAACACAGTAGAAAAAGAAGAAATCACATTCTTAAAAGCCACAGATATCATCAGACAATTCACAACTAACTCCTCTGCCCCTTGAGAGTGACTCAAGTTGGGCGCACTCTTAATATTGTCTCCTCTCTCTCTCTCTCTCTCTCTCTCTAAGCCTCCTTAGGGTTTTGAATCCGTTTGCAATGGCGTTGAATCTACAGCTATTCCGTGGGTGGCCTTCAATCCCAAACAGGTTCGTATTTCAAGTACCTCTAATTTCTCTTCTTTTAAAAAAAATAATTTGAAATTTTCAATTTCAAACCGATGCCCATTTTATTAACCTTCATTTGTATTTAATCTGCTTTTATGCCAATTCTTGCTCTGTACTTGTGTTCTAAAGGCCGTCATTTGTATATGCTTTCTCTTTAATCGTTTAGATCCCTATTACATCTGTGGCTGTAAAATGTTATTGGAAATATGTGTTCGTTTCTGTTTAAAGACTGAGTCTTTTGCAATGTATTATGATTTGTTGATGAAAATCTGTTCTTTGAAGAAAAATGCTGTTTGTGCATTAGTTCTCTGAAAATGAATCTTTTGTAATTTGGATTACCACAAGAATAGGCTTTCTCCAGTGAAGATTTATGTCAGATTGTGTAAGTTTGGTTAATTTGTGAGTCTGAAATTGAGAGGCTAAAGTGTAAGATGTATTGCAATAAGAATGGATGTTGGCATGATAGTGCATATGAACACCTGTTTCACAATCTTGAGCCTGAATTATTGTTTAGTCTCCACTGGGGGGAGTGGGGAGGTAGGGGTTGGTGAACGATGGAATCAAATTTTTGATTTTTAAGGGAGATATGATTGTAACATTTTCAATACAAAGGGTCTTACCACTCCATGATTGTTTGCTGCTTGCTGGAGATGATGTTTTGAGTGACCATGTAGTAATGTTTTTTGGAATTTGTACTTCTATCTGCTAGGCATTAGTTAATGTTTACAATTGAATGGCTCTGTAGTATTTGCTCATTTTGAGTACTGCAGGGAAGTAGGCAGCATTTCATTTCATGAGTCTCTCTTAAAGATTTTATCATATGTATCCACAAGTAGGCATAAACTGCCAGTATTGAATGGTAATTGATCGCAAAGTAACTCAGCTATGAAGTACCAAGAATGTTAATTCTCAACTCTGTGTGTTTGTGTGTGTGTGGGGGGGGGGTGTGACTTGCCTTTCAAGTACTGTAATTCTGATGCACTGTCCTGTCCACCTTTAAATGTTAACAGTAGGTTTTGTAAGGGCATTTTTAGCAATCTATAATGTTGAACGGTTACCATGTAAAATAGAGGGAGCAGATGCTTAAAATTGAGACATGTACTGGATTACTTAATGTCAAACTATTGAGGGACTAAAAGTCTAAAACCTTAATTTCCATGATCTTTTCGTAAGGATCAGTTCTAGAGAAAAAGGGTTCATGTACAAGGCATATACATATTTGTAGTTTCTTTTTACCTTTCGTAATTCTCTGTGTTTGTTTGTATTACTTGGATATTTAAGTGGTTACAGGTTTACATGAAAGAAGCCTAATAAGTTCTTGTACATTTATTTTGCAACCAGTTCATTTCTTCCTCTAGTGTCATGCTCTCTCAACTCTTCGTTGTTTCTTGAGTAGATCATCATGTTCATATATATTATTATTGTTCAGATCATAAACAAGTTTATAAAGGTCAATTCCGTGACAATTGTTTTTTGTTGCACTAAGTCTCTTTAAGAGGTGCCTGCAAGGATGCAATCAATGGCAACCCTTTTTTTAGTTCCTGACATGGTTAACTAAATTGGCGACAATAATCTTGCAAAATTAATGTTACCTGTAAAACTTAATGGATTTGAGAGGAAGAATAGCCTTATTTCAAGAGTAAATGATCATTATGCAGATTTGGTCATCCATTTGGTTACTCAGCATTATGAAAGGTTGAAATATGGTATTAGTCTAACGTCGATTTACACTTCTGCAGGCCAGCAGCAGAAACACATGCAACCGAAATCACAAGTCTTTTAATACCAGAAAATGGAAGAACATGGAGGAGGGTTCTTGGACTCTTTTACTGTAACATGTAGACTGACAAGTACATGGTTACTGCGTAGGGAATGAAGCCATCGGTCCGTCAAGAACGTTAATAGTTGTATCATATCAACTTTTTTCTTTCGTTTGAATTTGCCCTTCAATGAATTTTGGTTTTTGTTTTTTGGAGATTATGCATTCGTGGTTTTGCCCACGGGTTGGTTTGCATGGGGTTTTTTACAGAATGTTTTTGTCAAACTTACAAGGTTAAAAAGATTGTGGCCAGTTGCAGCCTCCCAACCATACCCCTACCTCTTTATTTATTAAAGTGTTTTATTAGGGGTAATTTTGCACCAAGGGCCGATGTCATATTATGACACCAGACCATTGGAAGCCTTTGTAGTGTTTCATTTGATCTCAAAGTGGTTCTTATATCATGCCTCCCTAGAAACCTCCCAGCCTCCTATTCTAGATAATGGCAAAGTTAGAAGGCTTGTTGAGCTCGTAGGAGGGAGGGTGGTGGGAGGGAGGGGGTAAGAACTATTTTAGGCCGGAGCACCGTAAAGGTTCTAAATGGCTTTGTGTCATACACACATGCATGCGTGCGCGCACACACACAGATTCGAATATAGTGCGAATCAAATATTCTCTCATTTATATTTGTTCAACATTTGAGTAAAAAGTCACATTTAAATTTGTATCTATGGGTAAGATATTCAAATTCGAATTATCAATTCAAATATGGATTACATATTGATTTTAAATTATTAGATTCGTTTAAAATCCTAGCACTTAGATACTATCCAATGAAACCATATAGCTTTGTTTGAAAATAACATTTTTTAATTAGTGCTATGGTTTCAAATAATTTTTCATGGTGCCCATTATGTTTGAGATTATGAATTCGGTTTTCAATTTCAAATTTGATCAAAATTACTTATTTGGGATTTCAAAGAATTTGAATTTGGATCAAATTATTCTAATTAAAGACAAATTTAATTACAAGGCCACATTCCACCCCCCCGGTCACTTACAAATACGGAGTATATGCTTAATATTTCTTTAGTCCTTGTTCTTTTGGATTGAAATTTCAAAGTTGGTTTTTAAAAGAATTTGGAAGGAGTTGAAAATGTTGGAAAAATCTAACTATAAAAAAATCACTCAATTAAATGATTATCTCAATAAATATGTAAGAAAAATCTAATTTTGAATAAAGAAGAACTTATCATTATTCGTGTTTCAGGTGATATGTTATAAATTTGAATATATAATGTAATTTTATATTAATCATATATAATTATCTTTGAAAGTCGTTGGAAGAAACTTAAAGGAATTGGAAAGAACAGGAAGAAATTGGAAAAAACTAGATTGAATTCGAATAAATTAGAAGTAAATTTTTCCAACCCAAAAAAACATGATTACTTTTATACATATCAATCTGTTTATAACTTTATTTTTGTCAACTTCAAAAAAACTCTAAAATTAAATTTTACGTCCTCTCAAATGACATTTTTAATTTTAAATCACGAGTAAGTATATGGTACAACCGGCTGTACCTAGAGATAGGTACATCCGGGTAGTACTCATTTTGAAGTTAAGTGGTACTCATTCTCGCACAAACATAACACTTCATTTGAAATATTGTAGTACTCATTCTGAAATAACATAATACTCATTTTTGCACATTTGTACAATATTAATTTATGAATGACGTAATACTCATTCTAAAATCTAGTAATACTAATTTCTAAATAGCCTAGTACTCATTCTTAAATAACGTACCATTCATGAAAATCTAAAATCTTGTTGAAGACCATATTGGAATTAGAACAGATTTGGAACTAGAGCTTCGCCTACATGAACTGTAATCGCAGAATAGCGGATTGGAAGAGTCTTCTTCATCGCCGATCGATTTCACCCAAACCTGCCGCCTTCATCGCCGATCGGTTTCGCCCTAACCTACCACCGCAGATCTTCCTTCTTCATCGCCGCAAATCCAGTTCACCTTCTTCATTGTCGATCTTCCTTTAGCCCAAATTAAACACCGGCTGTACGGTTCTTCCCGTACAGCCAGTTGTACGATATAAATTGCGTTAAATCACGAGACTTCAAAAACTAGAATTGAAAAGATTTCAAATTAATTATTGTTCTCAAACATTACTTAAAATTCAGCAATGCCATTCGACTCAAAAGTCATATAGGGAGTAACTCATAGCCCTAATTGCCTAGAATAATTGGGCGGGGTCTTGTTTCCCTCAGCCGTTACCTGATTGGTACCAGAGAATGAATGAAGCTATGAAGAAGATCTTGTCACATTGACTTGAAAGCCACCCGAGAAACTTACAAATCCACTCCCGTTTTTGCAGATAAGGGATTCACATCTTCAATCCATGCTTTATAAATTCAAACCTCTCTCAGTTTGATTATGTATTCCACCTCTGTCACTCCATGGCAGAACTGCTGCTACTGTCCAATTCCCACCCAGTTTACCTCCCCACACTCTCTTCATTTCCTTAAGAAACCCATCCGCCTCACTCTCAGCACCGCCGCCTCCTCCGTCGCCGCCACTCCCAGCTGCTGCACGGAGCGCGGAGAGCAAAGACACCTCCGGAGTTCTGAAGACCCCGGTCGAGAAAACCTGGTGTCTCATCAAGATTGCCTCTTTTCCGTGGATGAGCAAGATATTTCCCGCGAAGAAGACAATAGAGAACCGGAAGAGAGATTCAGGAACCCCTTGGCCGTTTTGGCAAACATGTGGTGGGCAGGAGTGAAAGCTGCATTGGGGCAGAGGATTAATGTGGAGGGTGTTGTTTCTTCTCTTGGGATTTTTGCCAAGGACAAGTATTTGGTGATCCCACATATTTCGGTGCCGGATATAAGGTACATTGATTGGGCTGAGCTGAAGAAAAGGGGATTTGAAGGAGTGGTCTTTGATAAGGACAACAGCATCACTGCTCCTTACTCTTTGCGCTTGTGGCCGCCTCTGAGATCATCCATAGACCAATGCAAAGCTCTGTTCGGCGACAACATTGCGGTTTTAAGTAACTCTGCTGGTGATTTCTTACCCACATCTTTTTGGTACTTTTGTATTGGCAGTTGGTTCTGCAAGTTCCTTTAATCTCATAGCACATGTGCCTTCTAATTGTAGGACTTATAGAATATGACCCTGGCTTCAGAAATGCAAGGATTCTTGAGCGTGCCATTGGAATTAAAGTAATCAGACACAGTAAGTTCTTAGGACCTCTACCTGTCAAACTTAGTAAAGATTGGCATTTCAGCTTTCTACCTTGTGTGGACAGCTTGGAATGATGCTATTAGCATTGAATTTCAACTTGCTTCTATCTGTCCAATATGAACTTTAGAGGTGAAGAAGCCAGCTGGAACAGCTGAAGAAATTGAAAGGCTTTTTGGCTGTGAATCGTCAAAGCTTATCATGGTAAGTATAAACTTTTGTTTTGAAAGAAATATATTCACATCCACGCCTTCTATGAATAAATTAAATGTCCTGCAGGTAGGTGATCGGCCTTTCACAGACATCGTGTATGGAAACCGAAACGGTTTCCTAACCGTTTTGACTGAGCCATTGAGTCTTGCTGAGGAGCCTTTCATTGTAAAACAGGTGTTTGCATTTTTTTACTTCTCGCATTTTATAGTCATATTTGGATGAAGGAATTTTCTTCTTGCACTATGTGGCTCTGACAATTTCATATTTTTATCTGCAATCCCTGGATACCTATAGGTTCCATTGCAGCTAAGATTTGTAAAAGTTAGTGAATCAACTTTTTACATTTCTCTATTGTTTGGAATCTATTCCACTGTGCTGGCTTAGTTGTCTTACTTTGCAGCTGAGAGCCTTACCTAATTTGAATCAGATGAGTGTAAGTTGACTGCCTAAAAGATGCAATTGTTTTGCCAATGTTCAACATCAAGGTTAATACTATTACTTTTTAACTAAATATGTCAGCCTTGACACAAAAAACAGGCCATGGACTGACGCTAACCAAATATGTCCCTCTTGATCAAACCAAGAAGAAGGCACTAAATCACTTACTCAGCTCACTGGCTATGTAAGAAGGATTTATTGAGTAGTCTGACTAGTCTCATAAAGAAGGTCTATCTTTTTCTATGAAAGGATGATCATTACATTAGTCGCTAAATGAATGTGATATTAGCAATAAAAGTAAATAATGATGAACAGATTCAACCATCCGATTAAATGGATATGATTTTAATGGAGTATCCACCAGTCATTGTGGTGGGGTGGTTGTCTTTGTGACAGCTAGTCAGTTGTCTTTTCCCATATTTCTGTAAATTAATTTTTTTTGACAGAATTTATTTTTTGTTACTCTGTATTTGTGTTTAGAGAGTATTTTAGTGAACCCTTTTATAATAAGTACAACCATGTTTTGTTAGTGCTATTTAGGAATAAAAATCTCTATGTCTTAGCAGTATTTATGAATGGCCAATGCCTCTACATCTCTAGGCATGCCTTGGCAATTTTCACAACAAATATGCACAAAACATACAATAATGAGGCTTATGCATTATGGGCTGAGATGTATGCCTCATTGCTTATATGCCTTGAGGCTTAGGTCAGGCTTACATAATATTGTGTACCAGGTTTTTATTAGGTTGGACACACTATTTAAAAGGCCAATTTTTGTTTTATTACTTTGACTGATGTGGATTGAGATGGTTAGGGCATGCACTGAGGAGAAGTACGGATGCCCCAATCAGGAGGTGTGAGAAGCTTGTGGCAGGGGCATTACGAGAGGCAGACGACTAGCGGTAGGCCTAAGAAGAGTTGGAAGGAGGTCGTTAGACAAGACTTACTATACGAATTATTCAGTATCTCATTGAGGACATGATCTTATATAGGGGTGTATAGGGTCTAGGATTAGGGTGGTAGGATAGGCAGGCCATTGGGTCTTAGATCTTAGTTTTTTGCCTGTGTTCTATTGTGCGCAGTAGTTTGTAGTTTCTGCACATGTATTTGTTTTTAATTGTGGTCTTGCTTTGTGTTAGTGCCACTTCCTTTTGTGGTTGTGATAATTTTGAGCTTGGGTTCTCCTGAAAACACCTTTTCTACTACTTGTATGTAAGTAGGGTTAAGGTATTCACACCCTCCCCAGACCACACACCGTAGAATTTTATTGGGTCTCTTGTTGTACATTGAATGAGGTCAGGCTAGGCACCGGCAACGTTTTGCGGCAGCCAAGTTCTTCAACTTCTGATTAGCGCACAATTTTTCTCACATCAATAATTTACTTTTTATTGTAAGTGTTACAAATAGCGAGGTTACACACACCTGCTGGTTTCGGTCAAGTGTTAGGCTGCTTCATTCTTGTAATTATGTTTGGTTTTTTAAATGTAAAACACCCAGTTGCACATAAAGTCAGTCAACAATATTTCTGCTGACACTATTTTGCCTTTCTCTTTGATCTTGAGAAGACACAAGTGGTTTGCATCCCAAATTTCAAACCACTACATTGTGATGATCCTGTTACATAATTTTAAATCTATTGAACCTTAAACTTTATCTGGTTTAGACAATATTTCATGCTAATCTGCCTTCCCAATCAATATGGACTTTCATACATTTTCTGAATCACAATCTCGATCTGCAGGTGAGGATCATTGAGAGGGCCATTGTGTATCGGTGGTCGAAGAAAGGAGTTCGGCCCATCAGTCACAAACTCGTTCCAGATTGCCAGCAATGTGTGAAGGACACACCAATGTAGCTAGACTGCATGCAGAAGTTTCATTTATGGCTATTGAGGAGAAAACCCATCTAATTAGCATCTGTAACTTTCATTTTTGTCTCTATTATTATTGGCAATCTGTATATGGGAAAAGCCCGGAAAGGCATAAGAACATTTCTTTGGATTACAAGAAATATATTTGCAAAGCTGCTAATATTTTGGGAGTTGGCCAGACCAATTAAATACTCCCTCCGTCCCAAAAAGATTTACACGTTTCAAAAAAATTGTGTCCCACAATTCCTTACCCATTTCTATTAAAAAACCACTTTTACCCCTTACTTTTTCAAACCCTACCTATCACATCATACCTTTTTCCTAATAATCTACACATCTCATCCTACTTTTACTTATCACATCAAGGGTATTTTTGGAAAGTCAACACAAAATTATCCCTCCCTTAATTTCAACTTTAGTCAAAATGGGTAACACTTTATAGGACGGAGGGAGTATAAAAATATATGGATGAAAAAACACACAATAAAAAAGGCAAGCAAACTACCTCGAACCTCAACTCTTTACTACACTATTGGTAAATGGAATTGACTGAAGTAAAATAACACGTTATGGTTGGATAATTAACTCACCTCTTCAAAGCTTACCAAAATATATTTTCAAATAGGAATTTACATATATATTTATTTTCTTTCTATCCAGAATATTTGTCCCGTTTTGTTTTAGTTTTTAGAGTCAATTGTGTCCGATCTTTGACTTATAAAATACTGAGATTTCAGAGATTAGAGTCTCAATCTCGAGTTAAGATCTAGATAATTACTCCGTAAAATTTAAAGCTGAAAGCAATTAGTCTTTATTCCGTCTTTGAAAATGCAAGCCTTGAGATTATCAACTTAAGCATTCATTTTTAAACTTTATATTCCAGTTACTTAGACTACACCTTTGCCCACCCCCCTTCGACTACACGTGCCTCGCTAATACTTAGACCGTCCAGTTACTTAGACTACACCTTTAGATCTTATATATGTTAAATTCTGGCGGGGTAAAATTAACGACTTGCACATGAAGTCGAGATCCGTTATTCTAAACCAAAAGCTTAAGCTGATAGGTTGGGGTACACCTTTCTATATATGCTAGTAATGTTCTCTTTATTTTCCGATGTGGGAAGTCCCTGCCTACATGTGATTAATTCACCGAGCAGAAGGTATAGTAAAAAAACCATATGTGTAGGTACTCCAGCGTCGCCGTTGGATTAAGGAGCTAGTACTATACTTCGCAATGCATGATGCAGTAATTGAATGGGATTGGCATTTGCATCGTCTTCACCTACCTCTCTGTCCCCACAATTTAATACCCTGCTGCACATTTTTCATCAAGCCATGCATGCATTTGTCCTCAGTTTTACAAGTGTCTTTCTCTTAGGGTTTTAAATAAATGGCATGCTGCTGCATTATATTATTTAAGTACAGGTTGGTTAGTTCACTTAAATTTTGTTACTGTTTCCGAATTAACCAAATTAGAAAAATACCCACACAAAAAAAAATGGTTGTATGTTTATCAAATAATAATATTTGTGGTGCATTATTATGATGGATGATATGAGTTGTTGGATACATATTTAAACAAATTAAACATGAGACAATATATGTATGTATGTATGTATGTATGTATGTATATAATGGTCAAAAGCATATGGGTTTGTGTAGGCTTGAGGCAGGTAGGTGAAGGTGCACGTACAATATAGTGTAAGGGTTTAATGAATTACTAGTAAAATGAAAGAGATGCATGGCCATATATAAATGCACATGCAACTAACCAAATAATACGAACACGCACCCTCACCTGCTTATATTTAATTACTGCATTCTCATCTCACTAATGGGTATAGCTAGTCTTTATATACTGTCTATACATATACCCTTCCTTTTTCATCATCACAACTACTCCATATAATTAATATCAAAACTCTTGTAACAGAAAACAAAAATGAAAATGGAGAGGAGAAGCAGGTATAGTACTGCCTTCTTCTTGTGGACTACAATGGCTGCTGCTTTGCTCTCTCACAATTTGGTCATTGCCATTTCCACTACTTCTCCTCTTTTCACTGACCAAAAGAAGATCAATAGTAGTTATTCTCCTCATCCTAAAGCTGCAACTCCTCCTAACACTCCATCTCTTCATCTTCCTCTAGAAGCTCTCAAATGTACATAACGCCCGGCCCGCTCTCATGTTTGTTTCATTTTTTTTTCTTAATGTATAAAAAAACGTCATTTTATCTAATATTTGTTGTTGCATGTGTGACAGGCAAAAGCTCTAGCCCACCATCTTACGGTGGCGGCGGTAGCTCGGGAGGAGGGTCGCCGCCTTCACATTGTGGTGGTTCTGGAGGGTCGTCGTCTCAACGACCGCCTTCGCATGGTGGGGGTGGTAGTCCTTCTGGAGGCCACCATGGGGGAGGGTCGCCGCCGTCTCACGGGACGCCTTCGCATGGGAGTGGAGGAAATAATCCCCCGTCGAACTGCGGCAACTCACCTGGTGGTGGCCAGAGCCAGCAGCACCATCACCATCATGCTCCCTCGAAACCCAAATCTCCTCCTTCTGGTGGAGGCAGTGACACCCCTGGATCTCCTCCTTCGGGTGGCGGTGGGAGTGGCACCACTCCCGAATCT